AAGATTCACTTGAACTCTGACCATATAATTATCCAATGCTGCCAAACCCAGCACGTGTACTGACTGTTTGAAATCAGTATGACTGCCTCACAGGGAAGATGAGGACACCTTATAAACAAATAACTATAATAATATAAGGATCACTGTACAAATATTGAAACCACTGTTTTTCCATTTTCAACTCCTCTCTGGTCAAATTCCATCATACCAAGCTCGAAAGGATGGTCCAAAAGAGTCTGACTTTAGATTTTTGCTATATTGAATAAGTAATTCACCAAATTTTTGGTCATCGATCTTTTGTCATATAGATAATTTCATGGTATCAATGTCTGTAATAGTTTCATTGAATTTCAAGCTAAGTTCTTTTACCCATACATTTGGTATATTTTCTGTAATTCAGTATTTTTACTAATTCAGGTTACATCTCCTTTAATGTGACTAAAAAACCCCAATTTTTTTAGGTTTCTTTTTACCTTTTTTTAAAAATTGATTTTGAAAGAGAAGAAGGGAAAGGGAGAGAGAGAGAGAGAGAAACATCGATTGGCCACTTCCTGCATGCCCCACACTGGGGATTGGGCCCACAACCTGGGCATGTGCCCTGACTGGGGAATCGAACCGGCGACCTCTTGGTGCATGGGATGGCACTCAACCGCTGAGCCACACTGGCTGGGCTTTTATGTGATTTTAAGAAATACTTTCAACCTACAGTATGACTATTATATGAACAGGGCCCCCAAATTAAAACCACACAAATTTTTGAAAATTTATTAGCCTGTATCTCTTTTAAATACACACATCCAAAATGACCATGCAAAACAGAAAGGAGAGCTGGTACTTTCCTTTGTTTACATTCTTACAAGAATTATTTTAAGAATATAAACAGGAAATAAAGTGATTCTTCCCACAGCCATTGAATAATACAGAGCTGTCAATGATTAGCTAACCACATCTAACAAAATCAATCTGAAGAATTAACCGACAGTTTAATGAAGCCTTTCAACTTGATTAGTGAATATCAGAACATCACTGAGCCTGGAAAAATGGTACACATACTGACACATACTTTCTTAAAAAAATTATTTTTATTTTTTTTATCCTCACCAGAGGACATTTTTGCATTTATCTTCAGGGAGAGAGGGAGGGAGAGAGGGAGAGAAAGAGGGTTGAGAAACATTGATGTGAGAGAGACACATCGACTGGATGCCACCCACACGACCCCAACCGGGGCCAGGGACAAACTACAACCAGGTACATGCCCTTATCGGAACCAAACCGGGTTTTTCTGGTCTGCGGGCCAATGCTCTAACCACTGAGCAAAACTGGCCAGGGCAGACACATACATTTAAAAAAAAAACATCTTATGTCTCTATTGAGAAATCTATTACCTTGAAGAAGTCTGAGAAAGGCATCTTAATAGCCCATTTAAAATTTCATTTCATTTATTTTAGAGTTAAATTTCCATAGATGTTTTAAGCCATATACAACTAAGCTATTTCTAACCCAAAATGAAATATATCCTCACAAACCAGAGTTCCTAAAAAATTATCCAAAACAAAATTTAAATCCAGGAACTACAAGTGAGGTTTTTTTCCTAGAAAATTTCAACTGCTGAAAAGTGGTGAAGAAAATAAAAAAGCTAAGTGGTAGCAAATCAGTACATAGGATAACAACTGAGTCAAGAAAGGAAAAAAAGGATTTCTTCAATAGAAGGCTACTTTAGCAAAGGGATAATTATTCTAACCCAGTAGTCTTAACAGAGATTTTAGTCTATTTTATAGACGATTCACTATTATGTGATACTACTAATAATCAAACACTCAATTCTAAAGACAACCTGTTCAGATTTGGTTACCATGGCCTTAAAAAACAACCAACCAAACAAACAAAAAAACAAAAACAAAACACTTTCATCTTGATAGAAAATTACTAGGAAATAACATAAAACCATCATTTGTTAAAACAAATATATCCATAGTATATAGTAATATAAAAATACATGGAAATGTTTAAGAAAACAAATTAGATAGAGTTTAAATATAAGCAGCAAAATGCATTATTCACCCATGTGACACCACAGGATTATATGCCACATTAAATGATCAAAAACGAAAAAAATCTAAAAACAATGTTTAAGCCAGAACAGAGAACTTCTTCCCAATTAAATTAATCAAAACAAACAAACAAAAAAACCCCCAAAATTAGTTTCTATAAAAATTCAACTTTGAAATTGAGAACATTTTCCCATTGACCCAAACTCACTAAACTCGACCAAAATAGCCTAAGTCATCTGTCCAATCCCAGTCTCTTTACTCCTTTGGCCCTCACTCAAAAAAATCTCAGTGTTCCCCCAAACAGATCCTCCCAATTTCTTAAGGTACATCAAATCCTTAGCCTGGTAGCCAAAGCTCCAACCTTCCTTTATGGCCTCCTCTCAGAATTCTCCTAGAGGAATCTTCTCCAGTCAAATCGTGTGACCCACTGACTTCAGAATACCTTGAGTGTTCATAATTAACAAAATATTTTATTCTTTTTAAGATTAACACTGAAGAAAGCAAAGCAAAATTTTCTAAACAAATTTAAAAGTTGGTAAGGATGAAATATATTCAAACCTTATTTACATGGCTTAAGAGAGTAACTTAATTTTTACTTATTACCTAAAATGAGATGAAGAAAAGATCTGGTAAAGAACCAGACCCGATAATATTTTATGATTCATCATCAGGGCTCAATCTATTTCTAAATTATGTAAGCTAGCAAACTGCATCACTACTTTTCTGGGTAAAGTACTTCCCTAATTCACCCTGAAACTTTTTTTTTTTTTTTTTTTTTAGGTACGTGCCCCTAGAGGGAACCGAACCCAGGACTCTCTGGTCCACAGGCCAACGCTCCTCCAACTGCTGAGCCAAACCGGCCAGGGATGAAACTTTTTATTTTTAATTTTAAGTTGTTTTAAAGGAAATATAACTTTATTTTCATAACCACATATATTGGCAAGTTTTGGCTGTTATCAACACATCTCTGAGCGCAGACGATATCCTAAACTTAATAAACAAACCTTTAATTTTTTCCCCCCAAATACTAAAATAACTAAACTAAACCACTGGGTTAAAATTAACTAAAACATAATAGCATAAAGACAGTTCCCCAAATCCTAAATCCCTGTGTTAAGATATTTACTTTTTGTGGGAACAGTGCCTGATATTTATGAAAGACTACCAACACACAAACAAATAGCTGCTGTTATGAAAAAGAAAACACCAACAAGACACTTGGTTTAAAATTTTCAGAAGACAAAGAAAGTATGTATCAACTTGGTACCTATGGTAAATTAGTTATTTACCGGAGACACTGACAATCACAAAAAAAGAAGGTGAAGCAGCATGTCAGATCATCTGCTGAATAATACTTGGAGACCTTGAACTAAGAGATCGGCAGCCTCTTGAGCTATATTATAGATAGCAAAAGGACTGCCTCCAAGTTTCTCACTAGCAACTCTACATTAAAGACAGAAAAAAAGGCAAGAATCAAATACAGAAGAAAAGAAATAAACAGTCAAGAAAAGAGTTGGAGGTAAGGACAGAAGAAGGGAATAGAGCTAAATATAAGTCTAGAAAGAGGAGGGGAATAAAAAAATCAACAAAAAAAGAGGTATTGAGGTACAGAGAACATTAGTCCCAATAAGGAGCTGTCTAAGAAGTCATTCTAAGAAAGTTTTAGGAAAATAATTCTAAGAAAATCTGATTCTTGAGATGAATTGAACCCAGAATCTAATAATATTTTTCTAAATGTTCTCAAGCCATATTCTATTATTATATTTTATTATAATTTCTGTAAATTGTAAATTTTCATTTTTGAGAGTTTTAGCCAGAATCTGTTTGGTATATTCTAAATCTAAGTTTAAATTAACACTTGACTTATAATCTTCTCAAATTACCATCAGTATGAGTCTGGTGATTTATATAACATCACTGAGGAAAACCTTAAACAAAAGATACAATTTCTCAAATGAAATATACCTTAATCTGGGTACCTATGAAAGTCATGCAAAATATATATAGCATAGGGGTGTGAAAGAAACATTTTGTTTTTAAAAGGTTCAGGACTAAAATAACTGGTGAGGTGAATGTGCCTGGAGTGACTGGAAATATCAAAAGTATTTTAAGGAAAAGAACATAATAAAAACTAAAAGTCAAGAAGAGTTAATGAAATGCCATTAAGGGCAGAAGATATGAAAAATTAATTAATATTCTACTTTTGTTTAGTCTCTCCAAAACAGACGTGTATCCCTGATTGGTCTGGGTGTCCTCAGTAGGACTCAAGCTAAGGGGATATCAGTGAGAATTCTTTAAAGATATTTGAAGTTCTGACTTCAATAATCTTTCCATGTCATAAGATTGTGTGAGCTTAAATCTCTTCATAGCCTTTTCTTATACCATTCCTTTAAATGGAAAGCTTAATAATTAAATAACAGGTACTTGGTAGGTCTTTTCTTTTTTACCTTAGAATATATTTTTTTAAATTTTCACCAGGAAAAGACCTTTCTCAAATCAATCCACACCATGAATGCTGTCTAACCATTTGGTGAATACATAATTTAGCCAGAATAATTTCTGAACCATTCGATGTCTAAATTCTGAATCAGAGTTATCACTGATAGGTTTGGCTCTTAGGATTGGCTTTCTGTATGTTTCCTCTATTTGTTTTTCTCCAACTTTCCATATGCTTTATACTGAATGCCACTACCCTTTCACCCCACTTCTTTACTTTCCTACTATATATATGTATGTTCAGACACACACAAAAATATCAGTATCACTATGTATGTATGCATGTATGTGTATATACACACATATATGCATATATACACACACTAAGACACACATGGCCAATATCTAGAGTATAAACCAAAGATAAAGATATAAATGACATTGCACATAGGAATAAATCCATTTATTCTTATTTCTAAGATAAAACAAAACTGGTTGGTTACTGCAACTCACCAGATGGCTCTTCGGGTTCACTTTCATTTTCTTCTTCAGGTGGGGCTTGAGGGGGTGGTGGGGGAAGCTTCTTTTCCTTCTCTGCTTTGGCATTTCTCTCTTCTTCTGAATAATACTCATCTTCTGAAAGGTTGGCCAAGCTTTCATCCATCTCTCTGTACTCTACCTATATGGAGATTATACCAGGGAAAGCTAAATACAGTGAACATCTAAAATCAGGGACTCAATTTGGAACCATCAGTAAATGTGAATTGCTTTTTAATTTTAAATTTTAAGGGAAATAAGCAAATAACAAGGAACAAGCTAGCTCATAATAGGTAGCTATTAAAAACAAAATCTCTCATGAAATAATCTGGTGTCAGGTTCACATTTAGCCCAATATATAACTTTTACATTATAGCACTGACATTCAGATCAATGACTCTGAGACTCTACAACTCCCAAATTAAAAAAAAAAAGAGAGAGAGTATGTGTGTGTATGTCATGTGAATGGCTAGGGGAGGTAAGAGTTTTACTGAAAACAGGAATTGGGTTAGAAAATGGAAACAAAAATTAAGGATGAACTGAAGAGTTCTGACCCATGCTCTAAAAATCTTACTTAACACAAATACCCATCAAATATTGAATATTGAGTACAAGGTGCAATGGAAAAAATTATTATGAATTACAATCTCCAGTGTTTAATAAACTGAAACTCCAGTGTTTAATAAACAAAAGATCCTAATCAGGTGACCATCTTATAGAGAGGCTTTACCATAAAACCTCTAGCCCTGTAAACTTCATCCTTATTAACTAAGATAAACGTAGAAACAGACCTCAGGACAAAAAATGCAACAAGGGAAAAATGTTTCAAAGAGGGGACTGGTCATAAAATGTAATGTATGCAGTTTCCTTTCTCCTTTTAGTCCTCAACAGTGCTTGACCCCTCCCCACCACAAAGATTCATCCCTTTAATCTCCTATCAATCCTATCCATTCAATCAATAATCACTTAATAAGTGAAGTAGTAACTACTAATAAGGAATACACTTAGAAATAGCTAGTTTAGAGAGTTCTTGGTTTTCAGGAAAAAAAGAGATTAGAAAAATACCTAGAGGTAGGAGCAAGGATATTTAAAGGTAATATAGTAAAACCTCGATATAACTTCGGGCAGGGGGGTGTCTGTTAAAGCCAAAAGTCCATTATATAATAAAATAGGTTTTCCAAATGGGTATGTTAAAAAATTGACAAGTTAGTTAGTTTACCTGTTTTTACTTATGTAGACATGTTTATGTAATTAAAATTAAATACGTATGAAAAGTTTAATTTCACAGGAAGTGTTCTACACGTATTACAGTAATTTTAAATTTATACTGAATAGGTCTATTAAATGGGTGCAGTCACCAGTCATGGAAAGTAATAAACAAATGCACACAGCTGGGGTGTGGCTTAGCACAGGTAGGGGCACTCCTTAAAACTGCTTCAGAAAGTCACACCAAGTGACAAGAGAACCAATTACCACAGGGACGCAATGTGATCATGTGCTTATCATTTGCTGAACATTGTTTACAAGCCTTGACTCTTGGATTTAAATATGTAGACTACAGTTATAGATATGTAATATTTACTTATGTTGGCAAAACACTACAATGTTTTTTCCCAACATATGGCCTATTGGCTAAAATTTATTAAAAATAACCTGTTAATTTAATTATAAGCAAATCTTCGTTTAAAGCATTTAAAAATGAACAGGGTGTTAATTTTCACGTGACATACAAACCAGAAATTTTGTCCATTAAAACCGAAGTCTGTTAAATTGAGGTCCGCAAAATTCAAAGGTTTACTATATACTTAAAAACAGTAACAAAACATTGTGTTCCACAGAACCCTAGGATTCTCTGGGATTTAATTATTATTATTTTTTTAATCCTCACCTGATGATACGCTTTTATTGATTTTAGAGAGGGGGAGAGAGAAACATCGATTGGTTGTGCGCCAACCAACTGAGCAAAGCAGCTGGGGCCAATTTATTAATTTTTAAAACAAATAAATGTACATTCACGTTATCCAAACCATAACCCTTTAGAGACCACCAACACATGGAACTTGTACTGCTTGGTAACAATACTGGAGAGACCTAAGAATGAAATTCTTGCCCTGCTGGTGTGGCTCAGTGGTTGAGCGTCGACCCATGTACCAGGAGGTCACCAGTTTGATTCCCGGTCATGGCACATGCCCAGGTTGTAGGCCTGATCCCCACTGGGGGTTATGCAGGAGTTGGCCAATTGATGTTCTCTCTCATGGATGTTTCGATCTCTCTATCTCTTCCTCTCTCTAAAATCAATAAAGAAAAAAAAAATGTTAACCCATAAAAAAAAAAAAAGAATGAAATTCTTCTTCCATCCCTTTTCAACTGAGTGTCCTGAGATGGCAAAGCAAGCTAAACAAACAAACAAAAACAACCTTTTGCACTACTTATCAATCAGTACTGAATCTTTACAATACTTCATAAACAGCCGGGCCGGTGTGGCTCAGTGGCTGACCATGCACAATGCTTCATAAACAAAATACAGAAATAAAATTGGATTCTGAGGATGAAACAAGACCGTAACTATTATGTTTAACCTCCATTCTCAAATTTGGCTCTATCAAAATAGCCTCATTTTCTCAAAGACAGCTAAAATAAATCTAAATTTCTTAATATAAAGCAGGCAAGTAGTATTTTATTTTGGGATTTTGCATAAACTTTTATTTGTAAAAATGGGTTTCTCCACTTAATAAGTTTAAAAATCATCTGAAAGAATCATATAAACTCTAAAAAATATAAATTATTTCCCAGAACAGGAATAGATACTTTAAACACAAAGGCCTGGGAATCTCTCATCCCTTTGTACGACTATGTACTTACAAGGACAAAAAGATGTCCCAATAGGAGGATATGTGTCAGTAGGTAATTATTCCTACAGGGACAAGTTACAAATTTACATATCTAGCTTCTTCCACACCCTTGCTACAATGATTCATGCACTTATCAATCATCTTAAATCTCCAGTATTTGTTCTAATCTTCCTTCCTTTTAATTCACCTAGGATACAACTGCCAGATTACATACGACTCTACAACCTGAACGCTACTGATCCCTCCAGTTTATCTTGCTCCTAGAAAAACCTCATTTCCAATTAAATTAATTTGCCCATTGTTCCCAACGTTTAATTGCCCACTTTCGACTCCCTGTTGCTTCTCAAACCACTTTGTATTATATTCCAAGCATTTTTCACTTCCTTTTCTCCACTGATAGTACTTTATTAATGGGCACCCACTTACTATATGCCAGACACGGCAATAAGCATTTTGTTTACATTGTATCTAAACCCAATAACCTTACAAGGTAGGGTTTATTTTCCTAGCAAAAATGAGTCTTAGAAAGAAAATTTAACTCCACTCTGGTGGGGTAGCTCAGTTGGTTAGAGCATCATCTTGATTAGGCCAAGATTGCAGGTTCACTCTAAGGTCAGGGCACATACAAGAAGCAACCAATTAATGCATAAACAAGTAGAACAACAAAATCTATGTCTCTCTCTCTCTCTCTCAAATCAATAAAAGAAAGAAAATTTAACTCCAACAAGCCCATCCTTTTCCAGAACACTTTTCTAAATTCTGCCCTTTTTTCAAGGCTCAACTGAAGGCCGCCATTGCTGAAGCTGTGTGGTGTTTCTAAAATCCCAACCCAATCTACCAATTTCAAACCTTAAATATTTTGCCATAATGTTAATACATACACACTCAGAGGTGAATTTATTTTGATACTAATGAAACAACTTCAGGCTCCCCACCCCCGAATGGATCCCTTCCAATATCCGAAACCTAATTTTGATTACATAAATATATAATTTTTAAAAAGAGGGTTCTCAAAACTGAAAAAGCTCTCAGGCCCAAAAATACAGATATATCCCTTGTATACATCTCAGAATTTCTGAAGCAAATGCTTGTCTACATTGGACTCAGCTTGCTTTTTACTCCTATGGATACTCTAACCCTCAAGATCTGTGTCCTCTGGTTCCCAAGACTGGCTCTGAATAAGTGTTTCCCCAGTTCCTTACTTCCTAGTTGTTCCCCCAAATAAACACATAAGGCACTTCTCAGAGTTTCAGAGCTAATCACAATGGAAAGAGAGGGTAACATGAAGATAAACACAGACGAATTACAAAGAAATTTTATAGCAAGCTCCAAATTGATTTCCAGATTCAAAACAATCACAATAAAAATCTCAGCTACCTTATTTGTAGAAGGTGATAAACTGATCCTAAAATTCATATGGAAGTGCAAGGGACACAGAAGAGACAAAACAATCTTTAAAAAGAACAAAGTTGAAGAACTCACACTTCCTGATTTCAAAACTTACTGCAAAGCTACTGTAATCAGGACAGTGTGGTAATGGCATAAGAACAAAAATATTTAATAGATCAGTGGGATAGAATTGAGAGTTCAGAAAAAAAAACCTTACATTTATGGTCAATCAATGCCCACTATTCAAAGGGGGAGAGACTAATCTTCAACAAATTGTGCTGGAAGTCCACATGCAAAAGAATGAAGTTGAACCCATACCTCATACCATATTCAAAATGTTCATAGAGTTAAATGCAAGAGCTAAAGCTATAAAACTCTTAGAAGACAACACAGAAGTAAATTATGATATTGGATTACACAATGATTGTTTAGATATAACACTAGAGGCAAAAGAGACGAGAGATAAATTGGACATCAAAATTAAAAACTTTTATAACCACGATAAAGAACTCTACTCAACAATAAAGACAACCCAATTTAAAAATGAACCAAGGGCCCTGGCCAGTCTGGCTCAGCAGCTGGAGTGTCAGCCTGCGGTCCTGAGAGAGCCGGGTTCAGTTCCCGCTAAGGGCACGTACCTCGGTTGCAGTTTATACCCGGCCCTGGTTGGGTCGTGTGGGTGGCAACCACTCGATGTGTCCCTTTCACGTCGATGTTTCTCTCTCTCTCTCTCTCCCACTCTATCTGAACAAAAAAAGGAAAAATGTCCTCGAGTGAGGATTAAAGAAAAAATAAATAAATAAAAAATAAAAATAAAAATGAACCAAGGGTCGCCCTGGCCGGTTTGGCTCAGCGGTTGGAGCGTCGGCCTGCGGTCCGGAGAGACCCGGGTTCGGTTCCCGCTAAGGGCATGTACCTCGGTTGTGGTTTGTCCCCGGGCCTGGTCGGTTGTGCGGGTGGCAGCCACTCGATGTGTTCCTTTCACGTCGATGTTTCTCTCTCTCTCTCTGTTCCTCTCTCTCCCTCCCACTCTACCTGAACAAAAAATGGAAAAAAAAAAAATGAACCAAGGGTCTGAATAGACATTGCACCAAAGAAGATATACAGATGGTCAGTAAGCACAAAAAAAGATGCTCAACATCATTAGTCATTAAGAGTAAAACTATATATCAAAATCACAATGAGATATCACTTCACATCCACAAGGATGACTGTAATAAAAAGACAGTGTCATGTGTCAACAAGGATATAGCGTAATTGGAATCCTCATACACTACTGGTAGAAATGTAAAATGGTGTGCCTGCTGTGGAGAACTGTTTGGCAAAAAGTTAAATGCAAGATACCATATGACCCAGCAGTTCCACTCTTAGATACATACTCAAGAGAACCAAAAACATGTTCACACACAAAAAATTGTACATGTAATATACACAATGGAGTACTATGCAGCTGTAAGAAAGAAAGATCTCTTATCCTTTGAGATGACGAGGGTCCTGGAAAGTATTATGGGAAGCAAAATAAGCCAATCAGAGAAAGATAAATATCACATGATCTCATTTATTTGTGGAATATAACGAACAGTACAAACTAAAGAACAAAATAGACCCAGAAACATAGAAGTAGGGTACAGACTGGCAAACTTCAGAAGAAGGAAACAAGGGCGAGGGAAGAGATAAACCACAGAACTTATATGCATATATGTGTGGACATAGACAACAATGTTGGGGGGGGCACGGGATAGGGAGGAGGGTGTCAATGGGGGAAAAAGGAGAAACATCTGTAATAAAAATAAATAAAAATTGCAACAAAAAATTGTACATAAGAGAATTACTCATAATAGCCAAAAAACGGAAACAACCCAAATGCCCATCAATTGATGAACAGATAAACAAAATGTGGTATATTCATACAATGGGATATTATTTGACCACAGAGTAGTCAAGTACTGAACAGAAGTACTACAACATAGATGAACTTTGAAAACATGCTAAAACCAGCCCTGGCCGGTTTGGCTCGGCGGTTAGAGCATTGGCCTGCAGTTCAGTGAGACCAAGGCACATACCTCGGTTGCAGTTTGTCCCCGGCCCTGGTTGGGTCATGTGGGTGGCAACCACTCAGTGTGTCCCTTTCACGTCGATGTTTCTTTCTCTCTTTCTCCTTCCCACTCTATCTGAACAAAAAATGGAAAAATGTCCTCGGGTGAGGATAAAAAAAAAAAAAAAAAGAAAACATGCTAAAACCAGACACAAAAGACCACATATTTTATGATTCCATTTATATGACACGTCCAGAATAGGCAAATCCAGAGAGACAGAAGTTAGATTAGCAGTTATCAGGGGCTGGGGAAGGGAGAAAGGAGGATTGACTGTTAATGGTACAGGTTTCTCTTGGAGGTGATGAAAATGTCCTAAAATTAACTGTGGTGTTGGCTGCAAAACGCTGAATATGATAAAAACCAGAGTTGTACTCTTAAAAAGGGTAAATTTTATATTAACTTTCTTTTTTTTAATCCTCACCTGAGGATATTTTTCCATTTATCTTCAGATATAGTGGGAGAGAGAGAGAAAGAGAGAAATATCGATGTGAGAGAGAGACATCGACTGGTTGCCTTCCACACAACCCCAACCAGGGCAGGGGTGGAACCGCAACAGAGGTACGTGCCCTTGACCAGAATCGAACCAGCAACTCTTTGGTCTGTGGGGCTGATTCTCTCTGGACCGCAGGTCGACGCTCTAACCGCTGAGCCACTGGCCAGAGTGGTATGTGAATTTTCTACACAAACAAAACAAGAAAAACCCCACATTTACAAAGTATATCATATGGGTTTCAGGCCACACTTTCCATCAAAATAGTAAAATTAAAACCCTATTGGGCTTCTGTTCTCTATTTCATTTCTGAGAGTTGGGAGTTTCTAATTTCTGAACTTTTCTAATTCATGCTTTGGTAAAAGGCCCCCAAAACTGTCTCTCCTTTTACTTAGCACAAGGTATTCTTGGAGAGAGATCTCTCAAGTGGACAGCTGAATCTGAGGGCTCTCAGTCGGGTAATGCTCATCCCAGGAAGCCCCTCATACTGAGGCTATCAGAAGGTAGCAGAGGAGGCACTGAACATTCCCCCATCACAGCCTTAAGAAAAAAACAACCTTCAGAACTGAGAGACAATAATATTAAGAGACACACAAACACAGAGACTCATGCACACGCAAAAATAAGTTCCTCATATACACTGACTTGGTACACTCACTTAAAAAGTATATACAGGTGGAAAACTTGTTATGCAGAGATTATATGAATTGTGTGATTTTATTTAATTTTATTTTTATTTATTTATTTATTTATTGGTACGTGCCCCTAGCGGGAACCGAACCAGGGACTCTCTGGCCAATGCTCCAACCGCTGAGCCAAACCGGCCAGGGCTGAATTGTGTGATTTTAAATAGTTACTTAAAAATTATATGTACATGTATCTCCAGTTTATTCAACTGGACCATGAAATCTTCAGTAAAGGCCCAAATCTAAAGAATGTACACTTTCAGTGAGTGGTGAACACAATACAGATGATGTATTATACAACTGTATATCTGAAACCTATACGATTTATTAACCAATGTCACCCCAATACATTCAATAAAAATGAAAAACAAATAAATATAGCCTATGCTCCAGTACTGCCCCCATGCCATACACACTGTAGGTGTCCCATGTGGTCCTTTGTTTCAGAGGCTGATGACACCTTATCATAATGTAAGTGAAGGGCTTACTCTCCAGTTCCACCACTGAGCTGTGTGACTTTGGGCAAGGTGCTTAAACTGTGTGCACAGTCTACTCATTCCCAAAATGCAGCTAGCAATACCTGCCCCTTGGTGCTCAGCAGAAATAAAACGCTGATGACGCTCTCAACACAGCTTCTGGCACCCAGAGACGTGAGAAAGCTACTGTCTGAATACACTGTTCAATGACAAAACTTTTACTTCCCATATATTTGTGGCTTGCCTAACGGATACTAGCCTTTTAATCAGCTTCGTCTGTAAAAATCTAACGTCAAAAGACCACTGAGAGGATACAAAGAAAAAGAGGAAAACTCCCAGCACACATCAAGAGCCCGACAAAAAACGTTCCTTTCTTTCCGGCCTCTGCGGCTCTACGGCCCGGCTCTTTCATCAGCATCCCCCCGCAGCCCCAGCGTCCTGCCAGCTCAAGTCCGTGAGCACTGCTCGGCCACCTCCAGGCACACCTGGGGACAACGAGTGCTGTCTGTCTCCAGCAACTCCGGCCACAGCTCCACGTCAGGGGCCGGTTTTCTTCCAACCAGGAAAATGAAAAGGGGTGCAAAATGTGGCGAGCGAATGAGCCCTCCCATCAAACCCCCTTTCGCGGGAGGGAGGGCCCGGTCCCAGCACAAAGACCGCATTCAACCCAGGCGAAGACCTTCCCCTCGCTCGTCCGGCTAATGGGGAGGTGAGGTGGACACGGACCGACGGGGGAGATCTGGGCCTAAGAGCTGGGGAGGGGGCCGAGGGGGGCTGGGCCACCCCGGGAAAGCTGGCACTGGGATCTGTGGTTTGAGGGAGGGGGTCGGGCCTCACCTTCGCCCGCTTGCGCCGGCTGGTCCGTCGCCCCTCCGGGGTCTCCGCGATGCCCGTTTCCATGGGGGTTGCAGATCCAGGCACGACTGTAGGCCCGGCTTGAGGCCCGGCGGACCCTGGCGGCTCGGCGAGACCCCCGGGGGGCGAGGCCCGCGGAGGCTCCTTCTTGCGGGGAGTGCGCTCCCCGGCCACCCCCGGCCCGGCATCCACAGGCCCCGACGGGCCCGCGGGCGGCGCGGCCACCTCTGAGCCATTCTCCGAGCCAGCCGCTGCCCCAGCGCCAGCCTCCGAGCCAGCTGCTGCCGCCGCGGCAGCTGCGGCCGCCGCCGCCTTCTTCCCGGACAGCATCTCGGGCCGCCTGGCTGCTGACGGCCGTGTGAGCCCCTCAGTCTGTGGGTCGGTGGGTCCGGGGCCACCTCGCCTCACCTCGCTCCTCTTCTCGCAGTCCGCGCGCGGCCAACCGCCGCCGCGTACGCACGCGCCGAGCGCGCTCCCGTCGCGTCAGGACAAAAAGGCTGGAGACGCCCACGGCCCCGCCCTCTCCCGCTGCCATAGACCGGCGTCCTCGCGGCTAGAGCGGCACCGCGGCAGAGGGCGCGATGCTTCCCTGCAGCGTCTCCTTGGCCTTGGGAGTTGGCCCCAGCCGGGTCCTAGGGCTTCTGGGCCAGACTGCACCTCCGCGGGCGACCATTTATTTCATCCAGGGACTTGCGCTTATAAATTCATTCATTCATTCATTCATTCACCTAGTCGACCGTCAAGTCAACCAATATTTATTAATGCTCACTAGGTGACAAGGGTTTAATTACGGAGTTCTTGCTTTCAAAGAGAGTACGGTCTCAGAAGGGGAAATACTGAAAAGTAATTGGTAGATAATATTATTTATTTGTAATTGTCCTTGATTGTACTGGGGAAATCTTGGAGAGCAAATGCGTTTCGTGGTAATAAAATGGACAATAATTACTTAATCCAGTTTTGAGTCCAACAGAATTGCTCTTTCATCCAAGGCTTTGTTCATGCCCTCTCCCCATTAGCACTCCCTCACTAGCACCTCCTTCCATTCCCTTTGCTCCCCCCCCCCATAACACCTGTTTCAACAACCGGGTAATTCTAATGCTGTTGATGGTAGTGGTGTTGTATTCTTTTTGTTGTTGTTGTTAATCTTCACCCTAGGATATTTTTGTATTTATCTTCAGATACAGTAGGAGGGAGAGAGAGGGGGAGAGAGAGAGAGAAACATCCATGTGAGAGCGACACATCGACTGGTTGCCTCCCCCACGACCCAACCAGGGCCCGAGACCAATGGAGGAACGTGCCCTTGGCCAGAATCAAACCCGAGACTCATTGGTCCGCTGGCGATGCTGTACCACTGAGCCAAACCGGTTAGGGCGGTTTATTCTTTTTTAAGTCCAGGAATCCTTCACTGATCCAACACTGGAAAAGCCTTTGTGTTCTTCAAGTTTATTTACACAGAACTATACTTGTTTGTTTGTTTTTGTAATCCTCACCCGAGGATATTTTCCCATTCATCTTCAGATGGGGATTTGGGGAAGAGAGAAACATCATGTGAGAGAGACACATCAACTGGTTGCCTCCTACATGACACCAGAGCAGGGCTCCAAAACGGAGGTACCTGCCCTTAACTGGAACTGAACCCACGACTTCCCGGTCTATGGGTGACACTCTAACCCCTGAGCCAAACCAGCCAGGGCTATACTTGCTATTTTTTATGTCTGTCTCTTCAAAGTATAATTTTTAGAAATGATTCCATTTACATGAAATCCAAGAACTGGTAAACCTAATTTCTAGTGGTAGAATCCAATCAGTGGTTGCCTGGGAGGAGAGTGGGCGTTTAATGCAAAAGAACAGGAGATAACTTGCTGGAATCAAGAAATACCGGTATAAGCACACTCTTTGGATATATTAGGATACATACCAAAAGATAAATACCAGCTAAAAGAGTTGCAATTTTTTCTTTGAGTCATAGAACTTGAGGGTGGGAAGGGGTGAGGCAGGCGTTTGAAGCTTGTTTGTTCTACATCCTGTAGTTCTATGTGGCTTGTTAGACATATAACAATTTATTAAAATTTAAAATTAGATTTTAAAAACTATGCATCTCTCTTGACCCAGCAATTCTACTTTCAGGAAAACATTCTCTGGAAATATTTAAGTATGTGTACAAAGATTTAACTTCCACACTGTTTATCTCAGGTTATATATAATAACAATAAAGGAGAACTAACCTAAAGGTCCAAAAAGTGGTGCCTAGTAGAATATTAGAATATCATAGCCATTGAAGTTGATATTTGAACATAAAGAATTTCCATACAAAATAGTGAACATATGTCAAAGATTTATTTATTTATTTATTATTGAGAGAAATAGCAGGATGATAAAGCTGGTTCAAAGGAGAATATGAAAAACTGATATAGTCACTGGTCAGTGGAAAACAGAATGCCAGGAAAGGATTGCAAAGTATTTTTAAATAAGAAAAATGTAGTTAATGTCTTACAAGGCCATAAAACTACACTTTGGGGGTTATTTTTTCTGTCCGACAGAACTCATTTACATTTATTCCCCCCTCCTAAAAAAATCATTTGCAGCTTACTTTTCTAGAAATACAGGCATACCTTAGATATATTGTGGTTTTGGGTCAGACCATCATAATAAAGCAAGTATCACAATAAAGGCAGTTGTAATCTTTCTGCTGGTGGAGAGTCTTGCCTTCAATTTGTAAAAAGCACAATACAACACAATAAAGCGAGGGAGGCCTGTAACTAATTAATTTCATATTCTTAAATTGCGGTAAAATACATATAACATAAAATTTACCATCTTAACCATTTTTAAATGTGCAGTTCACTAGTGTTAAGTACGTTCACATGGTTGTACAATCTTCAAAACCCTTTTCATCTTGAAAAACTCTGTACCCATTAAACAATAACTCCCCAGCCCCTACCCTGCCCTCAATCTCTGCCAACCACCATTCTATTTTCTGTCTCTATAAGTTTGACAGAATTTCTCATATCTCATATAAGTGGAATCAAACAGCTTTTGTCTTTTTTGACTGGCTTATTTAACTTAGTGTATTCTCCTCAAAGTTCATCCATGTTGTAACATGTGTTAGAATTTCTTCCTTTTTAAGACTGAATAATATTTTAATGTATGTAGATACAATGTTTTGCTTATCCATTCATCTGTTGATGGATTTTTGGGTTGCTTCTGCCTTTTGGCTATTGTGAATTATGCTGCTATGGACATAGGTGTGCAAATATCTCTTCAAGACCCCAATTTCAATTCTTTGGGATACATATTCCCAAGTGGAATTGCTAAAGCAACTTATTCATTTTTAAAAAGTTCACATCTGGCTCTGGTTGGTGTGGCTGAGGTTGGTTGAACACTGTCCCATGCAACAAAGGGTCGCTGGTTCGATTCCGGGTCAGGACACATGCCCAGGTTGCAGGCTCGATCCCCAGTGGGGGGCATGCAGGAGGCAGCAATTCGATGTTCTCTCTCATTGATGTTTCTTTCTCTCCCTCTTGCTTCCTCTCTCTCTAAAGTCAATAAAAACATAATTTTTAAAAATCAATTGATAAAAGTTAACATCTGACTTTACAGAGTGGGGACCCTCTGTAAAGAAAGTTACCTTTCCCTAAAGCATCAGGTGACCAACCGGTGGGCCAGTTAGATAATATTCTAGTATTACTGTGAACAAACCCGAAGTAAACTTTTAGCCTTATTTTCAAATGATTTTTGGATTTTTCTTTGCAGTCTCCCTCACTATGAGGGTAGGGGCTGTATTGCTGACCATTTTATTCTCAGTGGCTAGGCCCAGAGGTACTGTTGAATGAATGGATATCACTAAGGCCTACATCACCTGGCTGTTATGAGGACATTATGAGATGATGCTTGCAAACTGCCTGTCAAAGTCTGGCACATAGTGGTTGCTTAAGACATAAGAGTAGCTAATATTATTGTTGTGCAACAACTGGGGGATGAGGGCTGGTCATGACTCAGAGGAGAGGGCTCTCATGACTCTTGGTATGGAGGCAACTGTCCTAGAGCAGGGACTGAGGCTGGGTCTTGGGGCCTGGGTGCCACCAAGCCAGAATGCTGGGAGAACTAATGTCCGTTTTTAGGAATCTCCACGAGATACTTGATTCCTCAGGCACCATAGGAGCATTGGTGGCTTGGCTGATCAGCTACAAGCCAGCCTTGTTTGGTTTCCTATTCCTTCTGCTGTTGCTTAGCAACTGGCTGGTCAAGTATGAACTCAAGCCCACCCCCCCAGAGCCCCAGCAGGTGAGCAAGAGGAGCCTTAGTTTCAGCTGAAGGTGATGGAATATTTACAGGTAGATTGGGGTTTGGGGGACAAGGAAGGTGTCAGGATAATGGGGCAAGACTGAGGAATCCATGACTCTGGTCTACGTCCCTGCTCTGCAGCTACCTCTTGTGTGACGAAGGCCCAAGCACATCCTTCACAAGGCTTCCGGTGCCTTAGCCATAAAATTGGGGACCATCCCAGACTCTCCTACTTCATGTTTGATGTCAACATGCTTTGGCAACAGTAACACTCAACTTTAAAGAAAAAAATGAAAATGGATAAACTAGAGACACATGTATAATATATACATCTCTAAAATATAATAATGAAGATAGGAGATATGTACTTGGATTATGACATATTTTATATAAAGTTTAAAAACATGCCAAACAATACCCTATCTTGTTCATGAATGTACTTGATTAGTGAAAGTAGATTAAGGCAGGATTTTTCTACTTCCACATGATTGACATTTGGGGCCAGATAATTCTTTGTTGTACATTGTTAGATGTTTTGCAGCATCCCTAGCCTCTACCCATAAGATGCCAAGAGCACCTGTCACCCTTTCTGTGACATCCAAAAAATGTCTCCAGAACATTGCCAAAGGTCCCCTGGGGAGGGCACGATGGCCTCTCATTGAGAGCCACTGGTATAAAGACACGCGTGGAAAAAGTAAATACTGGATTCAGGACAGCAGCTGAGATGAGGTTCAGGGAGGAAGGGGAATACTCTAGGAGAGGGATCTACAATTGTGTTTGTGATATTTTATTTCTTAAGCTGGTGTGGAAACATGGGTATTTGTTGTAATATTTACTTTTTTTTGTATGTCTAAAATATTTAACTTTTAAATGTTTGTAAAGACCAGAAGTTTATAGCTGAATCCAAAAATAAAAGCTAAAGTGTTATTATACTGGGTGAGGGGGCAGATGAGGACTGTAGAAATAAGAGCATGTCGTGAGACACTGAGACTTGGCAGCTGAGATTCTGCAGGGCGTGACAAACTCTGGGGCACACTGGGAACGCAAGCTCTGGAGACAGATTCATCTGAGGTAAAGGTTTTATGTTCTTTGCGAGCACAGATTAGCGGTCATTTTATGAACCAAAGGGAACTGTGGGTCCTGGGAGTGTACATTCTCTCCTGCAGGCTGGGTGATGCTAAGAAACGGAACTTCTCTCACTGAACCCCAATTCTCTCCCCCACAAGATGCTCTCCTGGCGGGCTGGTTGTGAGAATTAATTAAGATGACAGTTTAAATCACCCGGCATGTGAAGGGCGGGTTATCATTATTAACCAACTTCTCCTCTTTTCCTGTTGGTGGGGAGCTTAGGAGAAGTCAGAGAAACAAAAGACCCCCGAAGCCAAACCCAACTGCAACTTCATGAACATGAAAGAAGTTGAGAGACTGCACGCCTGCTTTGCCCTCCAGGACAAGATCCTTGAACGGCTTATGTTCTGTGAAATGAAGCTGAAGGTCTTAGAGAATCAGATGTTCATCGTATGGAATAAAATGAATCACCACAAGAGGTCGAAGTGTCAGCGGACTTTTCCCACGGGGAAGCACAGATCGAGAAAGCAGGATTCCATCTTCTCCATCTTCTCTGAGTGCACTTCCAATTCCCCCTGATGAGGTTCAGAGAGACTGGGGTGGGCTGGCCTCTTCTGGTGTTTCCTTAACTCAGTAAAACCCCATCAGAGACTATTGGATTTCCTTAGTAAATCACACTGGAGAGGAGGATTGGAGGCTGAAAGGTCACCTCTGGAAAAGAAATCTACTCACCAGATCAGCCAGATAGCACCTGTGACACAGCCTGATGGCTCTAGGACCCAGCCCTTCCTCCCTTTCAACTGGACCACCCTGACCCTGGTTCAGGGCGCTATATGCCTGTTCACCTTGAATCTCACAATGGCCTCCCCAGAGCTGTCCCAGCCTCTCGTCTTCCCCTCACTCTGCACCCAGAGGTCAGACAGAGCAAGTCCTGCCAAGCAGGGCTCTGAGTGTATTCATTACCTGTTCTCAAGCCAACGTCTTCCTGTGGTTGACAGAATAAAACCCACACTCCCTGCTTGGTGTTCAGATGCTCCATGATCTGATCCCCTTTCCAGCCCTCCCCCCAAGCCCCACATTTCTCACCCTCATATGCTTTATACGCTATGCCAGGGTTCCCTGAACATCAGTCAGTAGGGGACCACCTTTGTGACATTTGCCATAGTCATGAACCACCAGAATGTTTAGCTCAATATTGTCACTTTAAATAGACACTTTTTTCTTAAATAAATGCATCTGTAAAGGAACATAATAATAAAAATAAATAATTTTTCTGTAAATTAAAAACAGCATCATTTGCCTGAAATAGAACTTAACTGTCAGAATAAAGGCAATGAAAACAAAACGATGTTATTGAGTTCCAACCAAAGCTGGGTTGCTCTCTAAAGGATCTGGATCTGTGCATTTTGGGTTAAAAAAGGAGATTAGCAAATGTTAGTGCTTAAAAGATGCTAGCACGAAGCTGAGACTTTTCCCCATAAGGAGAATTGGAAAGGACATCACTACCTCACTGTGACTTCATGCCTTGTTCCTGTCCCACTTAGAATTGTCTCTCTCTCCACAAGTCTCGTGAACTCTAAGCAAACCAGATGACTGACCATTCCCTGGATGCATCCACATTTTTTCTCACATGGCTTTTTCCCCTGGAATACCTTTTCTTCCCCTTTCTGCTGTTACAGTTCTCCAATTCTTCCAAAGCTAACACCTTTTTTCCCTTTAATGATTTTACGGAGAGAGGAAGTGAGAGGGAGGGAGGGAGATAGAAACTTCGATGAGAGAGAACATCAACTGGCTGCCTCTGGCATGCCCCTACTGGGAATCAAGCCCATAACCTGGGCATGTGTCCTGACCGGGAATCAAACCGGCGACCTCTTGGTGCATGGGTCAACGCTCAACCATTGAGCCACATCGGCCGGACAAAAACTAACGCTTTCCTAGCATTTTGTCTGTAATTCTCCAGTGGAATATGTCTCAACCAGCTGACACTTTATTTGCACACATTTCTATATCCCGTCCCCACCCTCCAATTCACGTACGAACTCTTGGGAGCAAGCACAGCATCGTGTTTATCTGTATATCTCCCCATAGCACCTAACAGTGGCTAGTATACAGTCAGTGCTCCATAAATAACGTCTGTGACTGTTGATCACCGTCTTATATACCCTGAGACTTTCTCTGCCCTCTCACCGTATGATGCCTCTCCTGTATCCTATTTTAAGAGCAGGATCTCTGGAGCCTGACTGGTCGGCTTTAAATCCCAACTCCATCTACTCCCAGCTATGGGATCTTGGACAACCCTAAGTTGTTTTATTTTTGTTGTGCCTCAGTTTTCTCACCTGTAAAATGGGGACAGTAAGACAACCAACATCATTTGTTGTGAGGATTAGATGAGTTTCTACACCCCTCGCCCCAAGACCTTTGCTCAGATGATTCCTTCTTAGAGAGGACTGCCTTGAGCTCCTACTTAAAATCACAACCCTCCCTGCGTGTCAGATATCATCTACCTCTAGGTCCCCTCTTCATCCTCGTCCGGCCTGTTCTGCTAGGGGCCAGTCTGCATGGCCTGCGTCACTGGCCTTTGCCCTGGGGCTTCCAGTTGAGTTTGGCCAACAGGGATCCCTGGCAGAAGATGAGAGGTTAGGAGGAGGCTGAAGTACTTACTCCCTCGGCTCCCTTCTGTGGGGTTGTCTCAAGCTGGTTTAGGGCTGGCTGTGTCCCTTGACAGAGGGCCACTCCTCCTCTTAGGGATGCTCTCTCTGTGAAAACTTCCAGGCTCCGTTTGGGCCCAGAGGCAGTAGCATCCCCTCCAGTTACCAGCCCAGGGGCACTGCACCATCCTGTGAGTTCCCTATAGCCTGCTCACACGTTTGCAAGTAGTCCCTTTTACACAGCTTCACGGGTCATTGCTACTGGCCTTGCTATGTGGCCAGGCCACTGGACCACTGGAATTGGACTATGAGGAAAATGTCCACATGGAAACCCCATGCTGTGGAAACAGATACAGCATGTCGGCCACAAACTTGATCCGTATGTGACATATGAGCAAAGTCACAATAAGGCCCCGCTTCTTGAAGCGAACACCTGGATTGAAAAGCCGATCAAGACTATACGGCCATCACGTCCACTCTGGGGTGCCGGATCTACGCCTGGACCCACCACGATAGCAAAACCATCAGGGAGGTCTGACGGGGCCCAAAGACGATCCATCGGACCTGTGAAGTCACTGGTGTTCACAGACTAAGTGTCACTGGCTGGTAATGTTGGCCTGTGGCTGAAGGTGATTCAAGGTGTGACACAATGACCTGTGGATCTGACCAGTTCACAGTAGGTAAGTTGGTTACATGGATTCTGACCACCATGGGCGTGGTTTAGGATATGGGTGGCTATTCTCTTCCACCAAACAGGTGCCGTCTAGACTCTTAAGGCTCTGATGAGCACCATTCCCATGCGCTAGAAGCTCCTGATATGAAACAATCTGATGATGGAATTATCTTTACAGCACTTCCCCCCAGCTGTGGGCCTGTCAACATGGAGTTTGTAGCCCTTCCACCCTTGCTGCTGGTAGGTGGTGGGTACAACCGAGCCGTGGTATACTGGCTCAAGAAGCTATCACACCAGCCGCTCCCTCCATCCTCTGTGGACACCTGGGAGGGGATGGGGGCACCTGCTGTGTCAGGCAGAATGGTGACTTCTGGGTTCCTACGGGGGTAGATGCTCTGGGAAAAGGACAGATCATCTGGCTCATCCCAGGCACATAACAGACCCCAGCTAATCCAGCAAGAAAATACGCAGGGAATCTCAGAAAATGAACCAGGGTGGAGGTATAAATAGATTCTTGCCTCCTCTTCCAGATCTGGACAGGCAATGCTGATCAATCTCTAGCAGCTGCCCAGGCCAGGGCCCTGTCACAGTACCCCACCCCCACCCTCGCCCACCATACCCAACTATGGGAGACCTTCTTGGTGTCTCACTCTGACAACGGCAAGGGCATTGCTCCTAGTTGCCCACAGCCACCAAGTGCTGTGCCTTGGGCCTCCGCAACCATGTTCCTGTCCTCTGCATGGATGGCTGAGGCCCACTGGCAGGACATTGGGCAGTGCCCTTGGTATGCCCAGAACTGTTTTGTACTCTAGATACAGGTCCTTCCTTGCTTTTTCCTTGGACATAATGCCACCTGCATATAAGCATTCATGATAACCCAAGACCCTAGGCAAGGCAAAGGCACCTAGCCTCTGGTGCCATTGACAAGACATTCCTGTGTACTACGTACATGGATCTCACCATTTTATGAAGGGTTTCCTCCCACACATAGGTAGAAACATGATCTACGACTGCTCAGCTTTCCTGAAGGAAATTACTCTGGGGACAGCCAGGGTCCTCGCTGCCAAGGGTATCGTGACCCAGTTAGTGATTCTGGATTACCACATAGCTTTGGACCGCTCGTTGGCCAGCCAGGGGAATAGCCACACTGGCCAGCATCCCCTGCTGCCTCCAGGTTAACACCTTCAGCTAAGTCAAGAAGCCCAGGCAGCTACTGCGGGAGCAAGTCCAATGTCTCCGGGCTTCCCCTCTCTCTGAACTTGGTGCTCCTCCCCAGGCTTGGCAGGCACTCCATGGCCAGATGGCCCAGGCCTCCATAATGGGCTTCCCTCCTACAATGTCTCTCCAGCATTGCCCACAACCAGCGGAAGTCCCACTATCAGCCCAGTTGATTTCTTCCTCTGTTTTTTATTCTATCCCTGTTGATGTCTACCCTTACTGGGCAGGCTATGTTTGATGAGCCCCTAGGTCAGGGGATGGGCCCTGGAAAGACAATTTTGATCGTACTGGAAGATCTTGAGGGCTTACTTCAAGTTCTAGCAATGAGAGAGCAGGTGAGCTCCAGAGGGGCTCCCTTCCCTATAGCAGAAATGATTCCATGTGGTCTCCACCTCCCAAGGTCTCCAGTACCCTCAGCACTGCAAGCAATTCCCCTGGTGCCTGAGCTCAGACTGGTTTTTCTTTACTTGCAAGACTGACTTCACACTTGCTCTAAAAGTAGACTAGTGAGAGTGGTGTGAGTAGGAGGCCCCTCTTCTGGAGCACATTCCAGGATGTTTCCAGCTAGGCCCTGACCCCTGCTCCTCTCCATACAATGACGAGAAGTTGGACATATGACCCAATGTCTCATTCCCTGCTGTCCTCTGCTTCTAAGTTTCGTCTGTAAAGGCCCACTAGAGCCCACACTGCATGACTTTATGGTACTTGCCTTCACGCAGTGCTCACACCTCTGGACCTCGGGGCTCAGTCCTCGGATCCTTTCTTGACTCCATCTCATTTCCTTGGTGATGACTTTAAATGTCATCTACTGTGACATGCCAGCAGTTTCCTGAAGCATGTCTTTGACACAGATCTCTAAGCTTCAGATTCAAAGGTCCCACGGCCTCCTTCCACCTTCGCTCAGACATCTCAAATGAACACAGCCGACCCTGGACTCTGTCCCTCTGCGCCAAGCCCACTCCTGCACGCAGGCTTCCCCACCTCGCTGTAAAAGTCGACTCCTGCCTTCCAGTTGCTCACATCAAAAACACTGGCACGGTCCCCAACTCCTCTCTCCTTCTCTCACATCCAGCTCTAATTCCTCAGCCAGTCCTGTTGGCTCTGCCTTCGAACACATCCAGAACCTGGGACATTCTCGCTGCCTTGACTGCAGCGCCAAGCCACCACCACCACCTCTCACCTGAATAAGCCCTTGGTCTCCCGGCCCCACTTTCGCCCTCTAGCTTGCTCTCAACACAGAAGCCAAGGTGCTCCTTTAACAATGTGAGTCAGGTCACGGCACTCCTCAGCTTGGAATCCTGCAATGGCTCCCAGCTCAGTCAGAGAACCAAAGTCCTTCCTGTAGCCCATGAGGCTCCCCATGACCTGGCCTCTGCCCCCTCCCCTTACCTCTCCAACCTCTCCTGTGACTCAGCCCCTCGCGTAGTCCGCTCCAGCGGCTGCCCTTGCTTTTCCTTTAACACACCAGGCACATTCTCACCCAAGGCCTCTGCCCTGGATGTTCCCCGCCACCATGGACTTTCTTCCTCTGTTGTCTGTGCATCTGACTCCCTTTCTTCCTAACTGATTTCTCAGTGAGGCCACCCTGACTGCCCAGTTTAATATCATAACCTGCCCCTCTTATCTAGCCCTACTTAGTTTTCCATAGCAGGTGTCACTTTCTAATATACCATTTAGCTCATGTATTATGCTGTTCCTGCAGAATATAAGCTCTGTGAGGTCCAAGATTTGTCGGTGTGATCCACTGAGATATCTCAAGCACCTAGAATAGTGATCAGTACTCAGTAGGTGCTCAATAAATATGTGTCGACAATGACTATATGTTGCTTTGTCTACTTTGCCATGATGTCCTCCCCCAGACCCAAGTGTAACCCCTGGCATATGGTCAGCCCTCAAAAACTATCTGTTGAATGAGTCATGGGGTAAGTGAGCACACAGATGAATTCAAGAATCAGCAGAGCCTGACAGGGAAAAGTGCTAAGTATCATCATAGGTCCTTTAGGAGAGGTATTTTCCTTTTTAAAGTTTAATTTGTTCTTGATATCTTTTCAGCCACATCCTTCTTTCGAACAGTCCTGATGCTGAGGGTGGGGACAGTCATTTTCTCTCTCTGGGAATGTTCTGGAGTGAACTGGGAACAAAAGAATGACCCCAACACAATCTGGGAAGCAGGCCGCTTTGAGAGGTAGACCTTAGAAGAAAGAGCTGAGGTGAGGGGCAGAGAGGAACCAAACAGGAGTCTCTGCGGCCTAGGCCACTTGAACTTGGGACCCTTCTAACCCTCTGTGCAACAATCAGTGTAGCAGTTCTGCTCTTGGGTCTAAGAACCTGAACATCTTCCCCACATGAGAGAAATCAGAAAGCACCACAAAGGACGGGGACTATTGGAATGAGTTCTGAAAGTGGAGGAAGAGAAGACAATAGAGTGGGAGTGAGAAGAGGAGGCAAGAAGAGAGGGAAGGCAGGAGAGGGGGAGGAGAGGGAGAGAGGGGAAGAGAGAAGGAGAGACCCCGGGAGCCCGGAGGAGAGGGAAACACACCACTAGGGATGACAGTGGCTAATGTGGACTGAGCACTTACTGTGTGTCAGCAGCGGCACTGTGTGCCTCCCTTATCTCAGGTCATCCTTGCTCCCATCCCAACGGGGTAGGTTCTATTTCATTACCCTATTTTACAGACGAGCACACTGAGGTCCAAGTGAAGCCAAGAAGTCCAACCGAAGTCACACAAGTTCTAAGTGGTGGAGCTGGGATCTGAATTCTGTCGGTCTGACTCAAGGGTCCACTGGGTGAGGTTTAGACTGCAGATAAACATTGTGATTTTCTCCAAAGAGCAGTAGGCAGCCATGGAAGGTTATTTAAGCAAAAGACTAATATGATCTCTCAGCTATAAAAAGGAAGAATAACTCCTCCCTCAAGGAGCTGTTGTGGAAATGGTTCTCAGAGGAAAGTCCTTGGACAAATGCCTGGAAGAAGAGAAGCACCCAAGGAAAGAGGAGGCTCCGTCTGGGCCAGAAGATTTTACACATGGGCATCTACTGCCACCATGTGGCCACTTTTCTGTATGACATGCTGTGGATTCCAGTTAGCTCAACTGGTCTAGGCGATGAGAAATGGCTTCAATGGGGTTGGGGCAAAGGGCAATGGGCAAGCTCCCAGAGAGGAGCTGGTGCCCTGGGGGAAAGAGTATTTTGTTTGGGGGGGAGGGGTGAGAGTCTTTATCAGCAGAGGTGCAGAACCCTGGACTGGATGCACTGATTCAGACATTCATCCCTGGTTTGGTGACACAAACCTGAATGAGACGTGGTCCTTGCCCTAGAGGACCTCCTTGTCTAATGAGGGGACAACATGGGACACGCATTAGTGTCTGGGAATCAGCAAGAACCCCTGGGTCCAAATCCCAGTCCTGCCACTTCCTGGGACCTCGCTTCTCAGAGCATCAGTTTCCTCATATGTGAAATGGGTGCAGCCTAGAACCTGCCCTGGGCGCAGGTTGTGAAGACCTAAGGAGGTAACAGAAAGCACTAAGCACCTGGATCTGGCACACTGTCAGCACTCAATATGTGACCCAGAGTCAGGCTGCCCCGCCTGCTCTGGGCCTCAGGAAAGGTGAACCACGCAGCCAGGTGCCATGGAGAAACCTGGATCCCAGCTCCATCGCTGTCACCCAACTTGCATGTGGCCTCCCCTCTCGGAGCCTGTCTCACCAGAGCCACACAGTGTGGGGTTTGGACAAAACCACTCAGCTCTCTCCTCACTCCGATGTATCAATCTCCTTTCGCAGGCCAGCCCACATCTTTGGCCATGGGGGATATAGAATAAGATCCAGAAAGCTTGCCTCCACCCATTCACAGACTCAACCCTGAGCATCAGCACGACGGAGATAATAATTCAAGCCCCGTCCAACCACAGGGTGGCTGGGAGGCCACTGAGATAATGATGTGGAAGCTGGTGCAACTCATGAATTGCAGAGTCTAGCTCCTCAAAGGGTGGTCCATGGACCAGTATGACATCACTTGGGAACTTGTGAGAAATGTAGACTCTCAGGTCCCACCTGATCCACTGACTCAGAACCTGCAGTTTAACTCAATCCCTAGGCTATTCCTACACACATTTAAAACAAGTTGGACACACACACTTTCATCTGGTGGCACTCCTGGGAATCTCTGGGAGGTGGGGGTGGGGTGGGACCCAGACAGAAGAGGGTTTGAAAAGCTCTCCAGTGTAAACAATATTATAAATGGAGCCACTTCAATATGGAGCCAGAGACGCCATACCAGAGGGACTGCCTTATACCTCAAACCTTGGAATGTTAAAAACAGGGCAAAATAACCTTGAGACAGGACCTAAGCAACCTTGTGCCTTGCAAAAGAACCATTTGCAAAGACAACAAGAAAGCAGTTATGGCTACTAGACTGATGACTAGTGGTCTGACAATTAAAAACACTGTTTAGAATTAACATCACTGTGTTATATTATCTGAGCCAATAGAAAAGCCTTCCTTCTACTGATGTAATTGTTCCCCTTCCCTTTCTCATAAATACCCGTCGCCTTTGTCTCCTAATTAGCCCACCTCTGCCTAAATGAATGATTCCCGAATAGCTGTTCTTACTGATCTCAATAAATGCTTGTTTGCCTCTCACTTTGAAAGGCTTTTTTATTTTTAAGTTAACACCAGGTAATTCCAATGTGTACTCATATCTAGTGCCAAGAAGACAGATCTATTTTCTTTTTATGTGCCAACTAAACTCAATGGCTAGTGACCTTCTAGAATGTTCACTGAGAAAGAAGATGTCTGCCCGGGGGCTGGGCAGGAGCTGTGGCATGAAAGTCGAGCTGCGGCAAGAAGCCAGCCTTGAAGGGTTCCCACCAGGTGCAAGGCCCCGGGCCACTTGCTTTACAAACACGTTGCAAGTTAGTCCTCACACTAACCGAGATACTATTACCCCCATTTTATAGATGGAGAAAAAAGAGGGCATGACTTACTCAAGGCTATATAGGCTGTGACAGCACTGGGATTTGAACTGAGTTATCAGAATATTTAAACACTAGGCTGACCCCAGGGTCTGTGTTCCTCGGAGCCCTGGGTTCCTCAGAGGTAGCCGAGGAGCTGGTGTGGGTGGTGGGTGACATTGGGAGGCCTGTGGGTGGGCTCTTTCCTGGCAGCCCCCCATCATCTCTTTTACATTGGGCTTGGCAAAGACTCTTTTTGGAGAGACTGTTCCTTTGCTCGTCACGTGGTGCTGCCCAGTCTCCTTGACAGATGTTCCCCCTTCACCGCAGCCCGGGGACCCCAGGAACTAATCCCTGTGGCAGAGGGCACAGAGGGCTTAGCGCTGGGGAAATCAGGCACCACATCTGCCAGTCCCGGGGGAGCCTGGGTGGAGCCTATGTCTCAGAGCCCAGGACGCCATTCCTGTCCCCTGGAGCACCGGGGATCCCGAGAGGCACTGGCCAGCCATGGCGGGGCCTGAACTGCCCTGTCCTTCCTGAGCCTTCCAGAAGAGGGTGAGTTGGGGCTCAGCACCCTGGGGGTCTGTCAGGGTGACCAACTGGTTGGGACCAAGGAATCTGGGGTGTCATAGCTAAAGTCAGGACAGACCTGGGCAGCCCCAGACGGTTGGTTGGTCACCTGTGCAGGTTTTCTGAGCCGGCCTCCCCTTCCTTTGAGGCGGAGCTTCATGAAGGGAAGGGCTGGCTTTGCTCCCTCGCATCCTAGCACGCTCTGTCCCCTCCTCTTTTTCCAGCTCCCCCAGATCTCTCTTTGCCTGCACTCTGACAGAATTTCCCACTCGCAGTGTCCCTGGGCTGTGGGCCCGAATCCTCGGTGAGCCGGGATCTCCCAGCCTCGGAGAGAATGAAGACCCAGGTGAGGCACAGCCCACTGAGGCTGGCTCCAGACCCGAGCCCAGATCACCACACAGCACCTTCGTCCTCCTCACCAGCACTGCTAGAGTGTGCACCACTGGCCAGGAAGGTTCAAGGGCTTTATGCGTATTAACTCACTGAATGCTCAAAACAAACCAGAAACTGCTCCTCTCCGTCTTTGGCGGGAGTGCCCCCAACTCCCTTTTCAATGTAGGGTTCCTTCCCATCACTCCTGCCCCAGGAAGAGTGCAGGGGTACCCTGGAGCCCCCGGAGCTCTGTGCCCATGATCTGATTACCTCTGTCTCCCCGAGAAATTACTGTAACAACACTAGCTACCAACCGGTAAGCAGCTTTCTAGTTTTGCATGCGTCCCCTGATTTACCCTTACCTAAATTCTATGGGGCACAGGAACAAAGGCCATTCTATTATGCAGAGGAGGAAATGGGACTCAAAGAGGTGACGTCATTTGTCCACAGCCAGTAAGGGCAGAACTGGAATCAGGTGCGCTTTGCCTGGGCCCAGAGCCCTGCGTCTGAGGGCTCCACCATCCTGCTAGCTCCATAGGGACCGATGTTGGCCAAAGGCACCGAGACTCAGGGTGTATGTAGCACGGTGCCCAGAACACAGCTTGCTCCTGGGATTGTTTCTGAATGACTGGACGAGGAGGGCGTCCCACGCGGGCAGTGAGAAGGAGAAGGAGGTGAAGGTCTGTGGGCTGGAGACCCCTGGGCGAAGGAGCTGGGTGGCTGTGCATGGGTGGGGTTTGGGAGAGCCCGGCTCTTCCTGGGTCCTCTGCCTGCCAGAATTTTCCAGCTGGGAAGGGAGAGGGGAGAGATTGCTATTGGCTGTTGTAAGTCAAATGTGAGCAGCTGGTGAGCAGCTTAGAGGTTAAATACTGGCTGCACCTTTGGGTCTATTGGAATAAATCCTGAGAATGGAGACAGACATGAGGTGAAGCTGGGCCCCAGAAGAAGGCCCCAAGTTGAGGGTGCAGGGACCCCAGCCACATGCGGAGGGTGGGGTGATGCACAGCACAGAGCTACCTCCCAGCTCCATCATTTGCTGCCCATGACCTCGGTAAGTCATTTAATGCCTCTGCACCTCTTTCTTCCCCCGAAAATGTCATGCCATAGGTGCCTGTTAAGGGAGATTAGGCAGCCCTCCCACCAGGCGCCCTCACTGGCCCTGCCCGAGTGGCCCTCTGCTCAGGCGCAAAGGGAGCACTTTCAACTCCCCCCCCCCATACAAACCTGCGACCACGCCGGAGAGCCCATTCACAGGGCAGCTCTTGTGTCTGGTGTCACTCCTCTGACACCCAGGTACAGGCATCCTACTTCCTGTTCTTGGGATCTTTAACGGCTTCATTTTTTAAAAACTGAGCTAGAGTTTACGTGCAATACAATCCACTCTTTTTGGTGTACAGCTCTATGAATTTTGACAAATACGCACAGTCCTATAAACACCACCTTATCAAAATAGAGAACAGTTCCATCACCTCCCCCAATCCTCTTCTGCCCTTTGTAGTCTACCCCATCCCTACCCCAGACAGCCACTGAGTTGTTTTCTGTCCCCATAGTTTTGCCTTTTCTAGATGTTACAAAAATGGAGTAATATAGTCTGTAGCCTTTTGAGTCTGGCTTATTTCACTTAGTGTATTGCATTTCAGCTTCATCCATATCATTGCGGTTTATCAATAGTTTGTTCCTGTACTTTGCTGAGTAGTATTCCAATGTATGGATGTACCATCGTTTGTCTATTCACTCACCAGTCGAAAGACATTTGGGTTGTTTTAAATCTTTGGAAACTATGAATAAAACATGGCTTCAGTATGAATACCAAATTCTAGAGCTGGAGGATATTTCTGAAATCAAGTGAGATTTCTAGATATAAAAGTAAACTCTTTACAAATAACCCAGCCCTCTCCAACAGCTGAAGAAATGGAGGCCCCAAGAGGGGAAGGGACGTGTCCAGGGTTACAACTGACTCAGGAAGTGGGGCTGAGATTGGAACCTAAGTCTTTCAGCTTGCAGGACAAAGTAAAGTTCAAAATGCATTTCCTGAGAACCTGCCAGTGCCAGGTGGAGTGTCAGGTGTTGCAGGGATACAAGCCAAGAAAGAATGATCCTGGTGCCGGAGACCTCGCCACATGGTTTGGAGACAGACGGAGAAGCCAGTAGTAACCAGTGCGGGTGACATTTACAATAGTCATGGGTGTGCCCAGAGAGGAGGGGACCTGGTTCTGCCCAGGGGAGAATGAGAAGGCTTCCCAGCTGCCCGTGGGTGTAAAGGGAGGGATACAAGTTTGTCGAGTGGAAAAGGAAAGCCAGAAGGAATGGCAGGTGCAAAGGCACAGAGAGGAGCGATGCAGGGAGGGGGAGCATAAAGACACAAAGGGGAGGAGGGGAGGCAGGAAGGGGTCCATGGAGTTGGTCGAGTCAGGTCACAGAAAGCCTCTCTGGCCAGACTGTTTCCTGTAGGACAGCACCTGGCACGTAGTAAGTAAATGACCCTTGTTACGGAAGAGAGTGGAGGACTGGACAGAGGGGGATGGAACAGAAACTCAGTGAGACTCCTAAGGGAACAGGGCCTAGAAAACAGGTGTCAGTATGTGCAGACACTTGCATGTTTCAGAGACGGCCTACAAGCCAGTAGGTGGCAGGTTGAAGTGTTTAATAAATGGTGCTGAGATGATTGATTATCCATATGAAAAAATATTAAATCCCTTCCTTACATCATAACCAAAAAGATTTTTGTGTGAAAGTGTAGAAATCTATACTTAAGACCTCTGTGAAAAGGATTTTTAAAAATATGTTTTTATTGATTTAGAGGGAGAGAAAGGTAGGGAGACAGAGATAGAAACATCTATGTGAGAAATATCCATCAGCTGCCTCCTGCACGCCCCCTATTGGGGATCGAGCCTGCAACCCGGGCATGTGCCCTGACCTGGAATTTATCCGGGACCTCTCAGTCCATGGGAGGACGCCTAATCCACTGAGCCACACCAGCTGTGCATGGAAAGGATTTCTTAAGCACACTCAACACACACGTGCACAGCAAACAAAAAAGACAGCGTTGATAAATTTGATTGGCAACAATCAAACCAACGTCTTACAATGTGTCAGACAAGACACTTTATATATTTTAACTCATTTAACCCTTACAGATTTATGAGGCAAGTGCTATTATCATCTCTATTTTATAGGTGAAATAGAAGCACAGAGTGGTTAAGTGACTTTCTTAAGGTCACACAGCCAGGAAGTGGTTGAACTGAGATTCAAAATCAGGCAACATGGCCACAGATTCACCACTACATCATTCTGCCTTTCAACGAAAGTTATCATAAACACAACGTTAAAAGACACGCTATTAAGCAAGAGTATCTAGTACTTATAAAGCACTCTAAGTGAAGAAAGCGGAATAGAAAAAAAAGTAGGCAAAGGATAAAAACAATCTATGCACAGAAAAGCAAACCCAAATATACACAGTAAACACATGAAAAGGTGTTTCACCTTATTAGTAATCGAGAAAACACAAGTTGAAAATAGCAATGATCATCACAGGTGGTGGGAGTGTAAACTGGAGCAACGTTGGAGAGCACTGGACAGAACCTGGCGAAGCTGACATACGTTACCACCCAGACACTTCACTCCCGGGCAGTGCTCCCCCTCAAATGCATGAAATCATCACATTTCTAAGGCAGCCTGGCCTACCTCCATGCTCTACTACACTATGAAGTATATTCATACATCACCTTACTCTACAGAAGTTGACGTGAACAATCCAGAACTACTTGTATACATTGGGGAAAAAGCAAGTTTCAGGAGGATAATACAGTAAGATATCATTTGCATAAGTTTAAAAATGTTCCAAACGATGCCACAGGCTCTTCGTGGATGCGTGGACGTAGTAAAAGAAGAAAAGCGTGCGCGATGACAAACACCAAGGTCAGAGTGGGGGGAGGAGGAGGGAATTTAAATCGCAAACGGTACACAGAGGGCTTCAGCTCTGCCTAGAACGTTTTATTTTCATCCATTCATTCATTTAACAAATACTTGTTAGGGCCTGCAATGTGCCAGGGACAACTCTAGGCATTGGGAATAGCACAGTGAACAAAACAAACCAGGGTAAACCAGAGGCCACGGAGGAGAGAAAGAAAGTGAAGAAGCGGCCCCTTCCTCGGGGAACCAGCCTCTACTGGGTAGATCAGCTAACCGTAGTCGAACAGCTGCTGTACCAAAGAGAGAGTTGGATTTGCACCACAACGAAGGCTTGGAGGGGAGCTGGGTGAAGAGTTGCGGAAGGTTTCATGGAGGAGGTGGCATTTCAGTAGGTCCTAGATATATCACCAATTATACAGGAGAGAGAGAGCATGCCTAGCAGAAGGAACAGGCTGTGCAAAGGCACAGAGGTGCAGAGTTACATGCATGGCAGAGCTGCTGGACGGGTCATGCTGGGAAGAACCTTGATTTCACAGGTGTGAAATTTACTCCAAGCCACGGACTGTCGTGTCTGGGTGAGCTTAAGGTATAGAAGGGGCCAGGGGAGGGATCCCTCTCTCTCTTCCTTCTGGCTGACCCCCATGGGGGCTGTGCCCTGTGTCCTCCCCCTTCCAGGCTGGCTGGCGACTCAGCCAGTTGAAAGTAAAAAAGAAGTGGCTCTTCCCAGCTTCCTGCAGCTTCTTCTTCTTGCTCTCTGTGCTCATGACTGGCTGCTTCCTGTGGCAGTATTACCTCCCCAAGCTGAAGACCGGTGAGTGCAGAAATATCCCTGAGTTTCTCTGCACCCCGTGGATGCGTGTGGACTTTGAGCTGCCACTCCTGATACGAGGGTTTAGGGGACTATCATAAGATTTAGACTCAGAAGCTCAGGCCTCATGGAGACTGCAACTCTAACTGTGTGTCTCTGGGCCAGTCATATGACCTCTTTGTGCCTTGATGCCCTTGTGTATAAAATGAGGCTCCTAGCACCATCCCCAAACCTGCTGGCTTCAAACAAAGTGATTTATTCTTTCTCATGAGTCTGTGGGCTGGCTGGCAGTTCTGCTGCTGGTCTAACCCGAGCTCTCTCCAACGCAGCAGGCAAGTCAGCTGGGAGAGCTGGGTCTCTCGCAAGGCCGCTCTCCTGGGCTTGTCCAGGAGGGTATTCCCAAGGAGCAAAGGCCCATTAAGGTCTAATTTTGGAAGGCCCAGGATCAATGATCAATGCCGGCTCATTCTTTTGGCCAAAGCAAGTCACAAAGCCAACCAGAGTCAAGAGGTGGGGGCAGCTAAAGAGTTTATGGCCACAGTGAACCTCCAGCCTTGTCTTGGCCTGGGCAGTCTCAGGAAGCAGTGGAAGGATTTGAAGAGTGTAGTTCCTCAGGGTGCTTGGACCCTTACCACTCCACACCGTCCTCAGAGGATGGGAGCTGTTAGGATGCTCTCCCTTCCAGAATCCCGCCCTGCCAAGGCCCACACCTTCTCCCCCGAGGTTCCAATGAAGCTACACAGCCAGACCAAAGCAGAATGAGACTCAGGTTCCCTGTGCCTGGACACACGGCTCTGGTGACAGAATGAGTTCTCCCTTGTGCTTTAGGTCTGAAGACTAAGTGGGGCCCCGCATCCACTTTTCCACCCACACCTATAATCAGAACTGGGGAAAGAGACAGACACACATGGCTGAACCTGCCCCGAGGGGCTGGGACTTGTCTAAGTCTGCTGATCACATGGAGGGAGGACGCTGGCCGTGCAAGAGAAAAGGGCTGCCCCCCAGGAACCGTGGGCTAATTGGTATCCTGAAGGCCAAGCAGCAGGTGGCATGTTTGGAACTGTCCCTTCTCCTCGGGCAGACTCTGCTCTTTGCTCCTTGATGCCCATGGCTGGTGTCTGCACTGATACCTCCTGGTGAGGCTCTTGCCAGCTGAGAGGGTTGGCCCCAAGGTATGGCTCTGGCCTTTGCTGCCACCTTCCCACCTCAGCTCGGATGACCCCTAGACCCCTATCCTGTCCCCTTCTCACCATGTGATATTCCCTGCAGCTTCCTTGGGACCAGAAGCGACCTCTGCACCCTTGAGGATGTGTCCCCAGTACCCCGAGCCTGTGCCCCTGGCACACCCCCTCCCTGTGTTGAAGGAGGCCCTGGAAAAGGTCAGTGATGACCCAGGAGGGTGTGCACTAGGCCTAGGTGATAAAGGGGAGGGTATACTCTCATTCACTCACTCATTCATTCTATAATTGTTTTTATTTATTAATTTTTAGAGAGAGAGGAAGGGAGAGGGAGAGAGAGATAGAAACACCGATGAGAGAGAACATCGACTGGCCGCCTCCTGCATACCTCCCACTAGGGATCGGGCCCACAACCTGGGCATGTGTCCTGACTGGCGACCTCTTGGGTCAATGCTAAACCACTGCGCCACATTGGCCAGGCCATTATGTAATTTTTGAACACCAAATCTGTGCTAGACACCAGGGACCTGATAGAAAGAAGCTTCTGTCGTATTTTTAAGAAGAGCTCCCAGTCTGGGAGTGAGGGAACAGTCAAGACAATGAACACTGATAACATAGGGGTAAGAGTGAGGACAGAAAAAGTTTAGAGGACTGTTTGCCGGGGGGGAGGGGCACAAAGGAACTGACCCTGGGGTCAGGGAAGGCTTCTGGGGGAAGTGGTGGCGAGGCTGAGAGGTGAACAACAGGAGATGCCCAGTTATGCATGTGAATAGTAAGGGAGCTTGGGGGAGAGGAGGGTGGACTCCAGATAAAGGGAACAGCATGTGCCAAGACCCAGCGTCAGCAGAATAGGTACAAACAGAGAACTATGAAGAAATTCATTCTGGTGGGGCCATAGGTGGAGGGAGAAAGATGAGACTGGAGAGGATGACAGAGCCCACGTCACAGACACCACTGCAAAATAATTACACCCCCTCCTGACATAACTTTTACCATTGAGGAATGCCTAACAGGAGAGGGGGGCTGTCAGCTAGCTCTAGTCTGTGCCAGTCAAACCCCACCCACTTGGGTGACTCATCTTAGGAGGCACACAGACCAATGCAACACTATCAGAGGCAAGAGCAGCAGTGTGGTGGGGGACTTGAAACTGTCATCCGAGGAACGGTCGAAGGGAAGGAGGCTGGTGCTTCCACGTAAGAGAAGGTGCAGGCCAGCGCAGAGGCACTCACTGTCTGCAAATGCGTGAAGAGCTTTTGTGAAGACGAGGGGACAGAAGGGTGCCATGTGGCTCCCTGAGGGTGGTGCATAGGAAAGAAAAAGCAACAATAATAACGATGGCTGCTTCTAGTGAGCACTTGGTGTGTGCTAACCTCTTTACATGAACACCTTGTGAATCACGGTCTGTAGAGGGGAAACAGATTCAGAGAGGCAAAGCTAGTGCAGGGGTGGAAGCTGCAGGTAGACAGCTCAGCGCAGGATACGTGAAATCACTTGGCATGGTGGGCCGGCAATTAATTAAGAACAGGGGCTGGAGTTAGCATGGGGCTCTAACCGTGACTCCACTAACCATTAGTCACTTCATATCTCAGAGACTCCGTTTCTCATCTGTAAAATGGGGAGAAGTTAGCACTGACCGATTATGAAGATTAAATGAGACAATGCATGAAAACTACTTTATACTGTTCCTGGCACATTCTAAATGTCCAGGATATGTTAGCTGTCATCATCATCATTAAACTTCATCATTGAAAAGAATGAGGTATTTTCAATAAACATTCAAAGAGAACGTAGGGGCCTTCTAAAACCAGTGAACTCTCCAATGCTAGGGGGTCAGACTAGCCTATTGGTTTTCTAGGGCAGCGGTTTTCAACCTGTTTCATTTCATGGCACACGTAAGCTAATTACTAAAATTCTGTGGCACACCAAAAAATATGTTTTGCCTATCGGACACACACAAAAAATAGATATAATTTTGATTCATTAACCCCAGATGGCTATTGGGTTGGCTGTTGTCATTTTTGTATTAGACAATCTAAGGGAAAAGAGGTCAGTTGCCCCTGACTAAATAGTTAGGTATTGCATGTTTTAAAAGTTCTTGTGGCCACCCTGGCTGGTTTGGCTCAGCGGTGGACCAACGAGTCGCGGGTTCCATTCGGTCAAGGGCACGTACCTTGGTTGCGGTTGGTCCCCAGGTTGGGGTTGTGCGAGAGGCAACTAGTTGATGTGTCTCTCTCACATCGATGTTTCTCCCTCCCTCCCACTCTATCTGAAGATAAACAGAAAAATATCCTTGGGTGAGGATTAAAAAGAAAAGTTCTGTGGCAGACTGCTTGGAAATCACTGTTCTAGAGCGTAAGGCAAGGAAGGATCTGACTAGGTCAGTAGTTTTGTCTCCTCCCTCCTCTTAAGTTTTCCAGGGAAATGTTTCTTTGAATAAAAAGCTCATGAAGAAGCCCACGTATAAAAGATCCTAGGGGAGCTGCTCTGACTGAAGCTGGGGTGGGGGCCCATGGTGTGAGAGCCCAAGGTCTGGGGGCTCACTGGGCTCCCCTCCAGCAACTGTGATGGGGGAGAGTGGAGCCAGGCGGGGTTGCTTGTGCAGGGTGTGGTGTGGCAATGGGCAGGGTGTGCAGATGACAAGTGGGGGTGTATCTGCACCCACACGCTGAGCCTCCTGCTCTTCTCCTCCCAGGTGGACAGGATCCTGCGTCAGGCACTGTCTGCTCCAGGGCTGGCTGCCATGTCTGCAGTTGTCATCCACAATGACACTGTGCTCTGGACTGGGAACTTCGGGAAGAAGAACGGCTCTGATCCGGCTTCTGGGTCCCCTAATGAGTACACCATGTACCGGTCAGCCGGGTGACCTCCAGGGTCCTGTGGAGGGGTTGAGGGATGGGAGAACAGGGTGGAACTAGGAGGTAGTGGGATTCCAGAGAATAATGACTGGGGCGGCGGGGGGTGGGGGAGATCCAAGCACCAGGGCCCTTTATTAAGTCCTGACAATTTTATAGATGAGGAGACTGAGGTCCAGTGAGTGCCCAACATCACACCACAGGGGTAACAGGTCAGGAAAGAATCCCTTCTGGAGAGCCCTTAGCCCCAACCTCCCTAACTAGAAGAGGCTCCCTTGTGTCCCATCCCTCCCTCATTTCCATGTGCCACACTGGAACCGTCACCAGGTCCTGGGCTCTTTTCCCAGGTCCCTGTCAAATGGCAGCAGTGGCCCAGATGGAAGCCACTGGGGATATTCTGTTGCACACCCAGAGTCTCCCCTCCTAGGTGCTGCCCACAGGATCCTTAAAGCTCACAATACGAAGTGAACACATTTGCTCCCAGAGATACTGTGAGGATTACAAAGTTCCATTCACACTGTACCTGCTATGGGCCAAGTATGGGGACAACAAGCATACTCTGTCTGAGCACTTACTCCCTGACAGGTGTGTTGCCAAACACTTTATGTGCACAGTCTTGTTCAGTCTTTTCTACAACCTGTGAAATGAACAAGGGAGCTGAATCTCAGAAAGTCTAGTACTTGTCCAAGACCACTCAGCCAGTGAGAGGCAGAGGTGTTACCCAACCCAGGTCTGTCCCACAGTGGGAAGGGCCTGGGGGAGGGCCGATCATCCAGCCCAGCCCCACTGCCTCTGGTATATTGTCAAGCATCCCAAAGCCAGTTCTACAGAGGCTGGTGCATTTCCATCTGAGATGCTGAATAAGGTGGACTCAGTGCTTTCTTTCCTAGAATGCTAGAAGGCTGGAGGCTGGGGCGCAGGGCAGAGATGGCTTGGGGGGCTAACAGGATGCCCTCTGCACCCTTGTGCCCCCAACATCGTCCAGGATCTCCAGTGTCTCCAAGATCTTTCCAGTCCTCATGCTTTACCGCCTGTGGGAGGAGGGCACTGTAGCCTCTCTAGATGACCCTCTGGAGCGGTATGCCAGCACCTTCACCATTAACAACCCGCTGGGCGTGGCATCAGCCCCCGAACGACAAAGCCTGATGGATGGGCTGGAGGAGGTGGGCCCAGCCCCGAGGCCTTCGCCGGTCACCCTCCGAAGGATGGCCAGCCAGCTCTCAGGTGGGTGCTTCTGAACTTATCTTGCTCGGCCCGAAACAGTTCAGGTAGGGGAATCGAGGAGCAGATTCTCCTCCAGGCAGGCTGGGCCCGCTCTCTGCTCTGCTTCCTGAACTGGCCATATCTCACCCTCTCTGGGCGGTGGGCCAGGGGTGGAAAGATCTAGTGAGGTAAAAGCTGAGGTGAAACCTAGGAATTTAGATCAAGTGGACAAATCAAGGTCAGCTGGTAGGTCAAAAGCAAGTTTACAGGTCACAATCTGCTTACTAGATCAAGAACAAGTCAACAGGTCAATACTCACAGACAGTTCTCTAATGAAGACCTAATTTCCCTTAATATATAAAGATCACCCACAAATCAATACAAAGACCAACAACCCGACAGAAAAATGGGTAAAGGATGGGAACAAAATAAACAGTTCACAGAAAAGGAACTACAAATGGTTCTTAAGAATATTTAAAAATATTAAAAGATGCTCAACCTTATTCATAACAAAATAAATGCAAATTAAAACTATAAAGAGACATCTTTTCCCTTTCAGACTGGCAAAGACCCAAATGGTGGGTGCACTGAATTGGTGGGGTTATGGTGAAACAGGCCTTCTTATATGTTGGTGGTGGGAATTTAAGTTGGTACAACCTGTAGGAAGGGTTCTTATAATATCTATCACAGTTAAAAACATATATATCCTTTGACTCAGCAATTTCACTTCTAGGAAATGCTCTTACAGATGTACTCACACATGTGTGATAAGGAGATATGTATATAGTTATTCAGTACAGCACTGTAATAGCAAAGGATTGAAACAACCTAAATATCTATAAATAGGAGAAAGAATAAATAAAATATGATACAGCTATACAATCAAATACTCTGTAGCCCATAAAAAAAGAGTAATAATATTCTTTCTGTACTGAGATAGAATAAGATACAATGTTAAATAGGAAAAAAGCTCATAGCCCATATTGTAGGCTACCATATGCATAAGTAATACATATCAAAGATAAGTCAAATATCTTTGGAAGGGAACTAAAGAGATCGACACATTGGGTTGTTTTCAGGGAGAGTAACTGGCTGGGGAGATGGTAAGAGAAAATGTTTTCATCATACACCCTTTGGTATCTTTTGAACTTCGAATCATGTAAATGAATTACTTATTAAAAATAAATGTAAAAAATAATAATAGTGGCGATATAATAAGCCAAGAGGAAGTTGACATGATGGAAGAGCAGGAGAAGACTGGGGTACTGGGCAGTACTAGATCAGAACAGGCTGGACGCTGAGGGGTTGCTCTAGCTCAGTGGTTCTCAACCTTCCTGATGCTGCGACCCTTTAATACAGCTCCTCATGTTGTGGTGACCCCCAACCATAAAATTATTTTCATTGCTACTTCATAACTGTAATTTTGCTACTGTTATGTCTTAGGCGACCCCTATGAAAGGGTCGTTCGACCCCCCAAAAGGGTCCCCACCCACAGGTTGAGAACCGCCACTCTAGAAGCTTCTGAAGGACCCTCCATTGGCCTTTGTGCCCATCTGTCACCTGTGACTGAGGAGGGTTGGTTTAAAGAAGTGTTCTGTGTAGGCGGGAGGGGGCTGTGCTGTTCAGCGAATGACCCAGTCAAGGCAAACACCATGTGTCTCCCCACCAAATGCCTCTTATTGCTCATATTTGCAGTCAGCAATTTGTTAACCTCAATGTGTAGGAATTCTTTGCTAGTGCTCACCACTTCATCATTTTACAAAGTGAGTTTAGGCCTGAGGTCTCAGTCAGTGGACGTGGTTGGTTATCGTTCCCATTAGCAGATGGTGAACCTGGGGCTCAGTGAGGGGATGGAGTCTCCTAGGGTAGCGCAGGTAGGACAGGATCAGTTTTTGTGGAAGGGTGGCCTGGTCGTTAGGGCATGCGCCCAGAAATTCCTCCTAGCTGTGTGATCTTGGGCAGGTCACTTAAATTTTCTGAGCCTTGCTTTCCTCCTCTGTGAAATGACTGTAGTTCAGGCCATTATGAGGGGTTAAATGAGCTAATGAGTGTAAAGCACTTAGCAGTGTACCTGGCACACAGCAAGTACCTGTCAATGTAGCTTTGGCTATTACAGCCAGAGGTAGACCTAGTTTTAGTGGGGCCTGATGCAGATATAATTTTGGGGGTCCTCTTTAAGAATACAATGTTATAAATTCAAAATTAAAGATAGGTCTTGAAAGGTGCCATGCAGGTGAGGGACCCTGAGGCTGAAACTCCCTGAGCCTCCTGTTAAATCCACCTCTGGTTATAATCTGGCTGCAGGGCTCCCTCTAGGGGTGTGTTGTGGATCGTTCTTCACCTGTATGCAGGGAACCCGGCATAGGGCTGTTTGGTCAGTTTAAAAACATCCCACAGGTCTCCTCTTAGTCCCAAAAGGGCCAGCTGAGCATACAGCAGCCTGAATAACTCTGTTCTAGGCTCTCAAAGTATTTTGTGATTGACCCCCATCCTAATCTAGAGCTTTCTCTCATTTCTGGAGCTTTTCATCCATTCTCTTAATTAAGTCTTGCAACACCTCCCAGGGAACCACTGCAGGTGCTTCAGTCCACTTAAAGATGAGCAAATAGAGGCTCAGAGAGGTAAATCACATGGTCTGGGGTCACACAGCAAGAAGTGCTAGAGTCAGAACTTAAACTCAGGACTTGGGACTCCATCCCCCAGTCACTCAGGCCAAAAGCCTTGGAATCAAGCTGATGGCTCTCATTCTCACACCTCCACATCCTCTGTAGTAGCAGATTTGTTGACCCCACTGTCAAAATATGTCCAGAATTCATCCACTCCTCACCATCTCCACTGCCAGCACCCTATCCAAGCCATCATCATTTAAACATGGATTTTTGCAAGTCTGCTTACAGGCCTGAGGTCTCAATCAGTAGACACGGTTGGGTATCATGAAGCAGGGTGGTTTCCCTGCTTCTGCCATTGCCCCCAAATTCTGTGTTCACACAGCAGCCAGAGCAACTTTGATAACATATATGTTGGATTACATCACTCGTAACCGCTGCAGTGGCCCCATCCCACTCAAAGAAGAAACCAAGTCCTTCTGGTAGCATATGGCACCCTTTAGGATCTAGCACCCACACCTTAGTATCTCTCACCTCCAAAGTCTCCCCATTCTCACTCTTCTCCAGCCACACTGGCTGTTCTAAGCTATTCCTCAAACATTCCAAGACATTCCTGCCTCAGGACCTTTGCACTTGCTGGTCTCTCTACCTGAGACATTCTTTTCTTAAACAACGGTGCTCTCTTACCTTCTCCAGGTCTTACCTGCTCCAGGGTCACCTCTGCAAGGCCTTCCTCTGACCAAATTATTTTCTCTGTAGCATGCATATTTATTTGCTTGTTGTCTGTCCCCTCCATCAGAATGTGAGCTCCACATGGGCAGGGATTTTGTTCACTACTGAATCCCTGGTACCCAGAACAGTCATTGGCACAAAACAGAGGTTTGAAATCTATTGCTAAGTGGATGTAGAACCCCAATCCTGTGATCCTTCCAATACTTGTCACATCTAATAAACAGAAAAGTCCAAGTGGTTAGAAAAGTCTAAAGCTGTTTGGCCACTGAGCTTAAGAATTTTATGGAATCAAACTTATTTTTTGAGCAGTTACCATGACCAGACACGATGCTAAGCATTTTATTTTACCTAATCCTCACATCATCCCTATGATTCAAGAATTATTTCCCTCATGTTATAGGTGAGGGGACTGGGGCATGAGAGGTTAAGTGGCTTGCCCAATAAAATACAAGTGGAATGAGAGTCCATGCTAGACTATTTTTTTTTTTTTTTTGGTAATTTGTTTGTTGTTATCTTTCAACCCATGGAAGGTGTGGGGAGGTGCACCCAAAGGCCCACTATCCCCCTCAGCTAGCCCAGCAGGTCTGACCACTGCTCCTCCCCAGGGCTGCCCAGAAGGCTCCGATCCACTTCACTGCTGTGGAGGGGCAGCATGCAGGAGGCCCTGAGCCTGCTCAAGGACGATGTGCTGGTAGCGGACCCGGGAACCAGGTGAGGAGTGCTCCTTGGTGCTCTCCCAATGCCAATGTTAGGAACCTTCTGAGGAGACATATTCCACCCCTCCCCACTCCCCCAAGAGAGACTGCATCACCTCATCCTGGATGGTCAGAGTTGGAACAGACCTTGGGGTCACTGAATACAACCCCTATTCCACAGCTGGAAAGACTAAGGCCCAGAGAGGGGTGGTACAGCAAGGCAGGTTCTGTTTGAACCTCACATTTTTTCCATTCATCAACTCATTTATTGAGCACTTACTCTGTGCCCAGAAGGTGCTAAACTGAGATACAGAAGCGAACCAATCTAATTAGGTCCCTCCTCATGGAGTTTGCATTCTTGTGAGTCAACAGTGAACATTCTTATCAGTGAACAGATAAACAAGATAAATACAGATGTGCCATCACGGAAATAAATGGGATACTGATGCGATAGGGAGTGGATAGTGGGGGTGGCCACTGAACAGAGAAGCCCAACTCTGGGAGCAGTGGGGCTGGACAGAGCACAGCGGGCACTGCCCTGCTACAGAGGCACCCTTCCAGGCCTGTTCAAATGGGCTTCTCCAAATGCTGAACCTCAGGCCCCACTTCCCTGAGGAAGGAAGGCCCAGGTAATGCTTAGGCACCTGCGTGCTGGAGTCCCCCTGTCAGCTCTGCCACTAACTTGCTATGACCTTGGAGGAGGCACTTTGCCTCTTGGAACTTCACCTTCCACATCTCTAGGAAAGGGAGGCTGGGCCCCAGCCGGTGTGGCTCAGTTGGTGGAGTGTCATCTTGTGCACCAAAAGATGGTGGGGTCCATCCCTGGTCAGGGCACATACCCAGGTTGTGGGTTCAGTCCCGGTCAGTACGCATATGGGAGGCAACTGATCGATGTTTCTCTTTCACATGGATGTTTTTTTTTCCCTTCTTCTCTCTCTTCCTTCCTCTCTCTAGAAAACATATACAAAAATAAAAAGAAATAAAAAGAAAAGGGAGATTGGGTTAGAGTTCAGGAATGTCTAAAAGGATTTGTGGATTTTCATCTGTCCTGTGCCTTACTGAGGAACTATTTTAGAGATACTGAAATTGCACCTCCTCTGGGAAAGAAGAGAGATCTCTCGTTGATTATTGGTGTCTGTCATGGCTGGGAGAAGGGACAGAGGGGTGAAATCCTGCTTCTTGTTTCTTATCCTTGAGCTAAATGATCACTATAATTCCACTCCACACCCCCAGAACAGTCTAAGACTCTAGTTTCCCATTTGCTAAAGTAAATCATTCTAAAGTGTAAAGGATCAATACGATTTGTTTTACCACTTCCCCAGGTGCATTGCCCAGCCCAGCTCTCCCCCTACCTGCTGTGTGACCCTGGACAAGTTTCTGCCCCTCTCTGGGCCTTCCTCTTTCCAGAAGTAGAATTAGTAAGTCTCTGCTGGGTCTGACCATCTGGGATGCAGTGAAGCAGGTTCCTTCCTTGACCCACCTAGTCCAGTGAAACTCTGGTGGCATTTCTGACAGTCTGAGCAGGCGGGAAGGGGCCATTTAGGGCTGTTGATCATTGGCTGCGTTTCCACACCTCCCGTTCCAGGTGCCATTACAGCACCCTGGCCTTCTCGCTTCTGGCCCATGTCCTGGCAGCCCACACGGCTCAGGGTGACTACCAGCGTTGGATCTCCGAGAACGTGCTGGAGCCTCTGGGGATGGCAGACACCGGTTTCGACCTCACCCCTCTTGTGCGTGCCCGCTTGGCAGCTGGCTTCTACGGCAGCGGGCGGCCGGCACCGCTGTACGACCTGGGCTGGTACCGCCCGTCCGGCCAGATGTACTCCACGCCCGCTGACCTGGCCAAGCTGGCCACGGCGCTTCTGGGCAGCGGGCTCCAGCGACTCCTGCGGCCCGACACGGCCAAGACGCTGCTGGCGCCGCTGCTGGCCTGCCCTGGGGCCTACTTCGCCAACGAGACAGGCACACCTTGGGAGTTCCACGCGCAAAGGGGCTACCGCGTGGTCCGCAAGGACGGCGACCTGGACGGCTACGCTGCCACCTTCTCCCTGGTGCCGCCGCTGCAGCTGGGCCTCGTGCTGCTGCTGGCCGGGCCGCGGCCACCTGGGCCCGACCTGGTGGCCCAGGCCTACGAAGTGCTCCTGCCGGCCATGGAGAGGGCCCTCAGGGAGGCCGAGCCCAGCCCGGCCCCGCCACCCAGCGCGCGCCCCTTTGAGGGCTACTTCACTTTCGCCAACCTGACCTTCTACGAGGTGAGCGCCGGGCCAGCGGGCGAGCTGCGCCTGCGCCAGTTCGGGCCCCGCGTCGAGGCGCTGGTGCCCCCCACGTTCCGGACGCTGGCGCTGCGCCACCTGCGCGGCCGCGTCTTCCAGCTGCACGTGGCCCGCCAGTTCCCGTGCGCGCTGCCGCTCGGCGACACCTGGCTGTCCCTCGAGGCCCAGCACGGGCAGCTCGTCAGCTTCTACCCGCTGGACCGCCACGGGCTGTCCCCGGGCTTCGATGTGCCGGGGCTCAACACGTACCGGGTGCTGCGGCTGCTGAGCAAGCCCGTGTTCAAGACCCAGTGACCCCGGGCTTTGTCCGGGGCCTCCCCCCTCACCTTCCCGCTTTTCCAACCTAGGTTTGGAAGGTAAGGCTCCCGGGGTGTCTGATAGAGAACCCGAGGAGTTGACAAAGTGGGGTCGGGCGGTGCTCCTCAAAGTGGGGTCCCGGGACCACAGTCGGTTTGCAAACTCTTCGTTATCCATGGGAGAGGAAGAGCTAAGTACAGGAACTTGGAGTAAAGCATTTGGAAGCTTTAATATGTCGGCAAAATACTTCTGTGTTTGTTGAATCTAAGACAAAATATAGGCTGTGTTTTGTCTTAAAAAATCAATCTTATTGAGTTATAATTTACGTAAAATGAAACACACATTATGAGGGTATATTTTGGTGATTTTGGCAAATATTTATACCCACCACCACAATCAAGATATAGAAAATTTCCAACTGAGGGGGATGGGTGGAGGTGGTAGAGAAGATAGATGATGGAAAAAATAATATTATATTTAAAAAGAAAAGAGAAAATTTCCATTATCCCCCCCCCAAACATCCTTCCTACTGCTTTGCAGTCAGTCCCCTCCCCTGTACCCAGCTGCAGGCAACCACTGATCTTTCTGTCACTATAGATTAACTTTGCCTGTTATAAAATTTAATATAAACGGAATTATAGTCTTTTGTGTCTCTTTTCTTTTGCTCAGCATGGTGTTTTGAGGTTCGTGCATGTCTTTGTGTATATCAGCAGTTTATCCCTTTTTATTGCTGAATAATAGTCCATTCAAGGGATATATCACAATTTGTTTATCTTTTCACCTGTTGCTAGACATTTGGGTTGTTTCCACTGGGGCTGTTACAAAAAAGCATTCCTGTATAACTCTTTTTGTAAATATTGCTTTCATTTCTCTTGCTTAAATATCTAGGTGTGACTGCTATGCAGTTTTCCAAAGCTCTTGTACCATTTTACATTTCCAGCAGCAACATGTGACAGTTCCATTGTTTCACATCTTTGCAAAATTTTAGCCATAGTAATGTTTGTGAAGTTCTGCCCTCACACATGCATAACCCCCTCATTATCAACATTCCCCACCAGAGTGGTACATTTGTTACAACAGATGAACCTACACTGACACATCATTATCAACCAAAGTTCATAGTTTACATTAGGGTTCATTTTAGGGGCTTGGTCAAACATATAATGACATCTATCTACCATTATAGTATCATTCAGAGTATTTTTACTGCCCTAAAAAATCCTCTGTGCTTTGCCTGTTCATTTCTCTCCCCACAAAACTGGCAACCACCGCTCTTTTCAGGGTCTTCATAGTTTTGCCTTTTCCAGAATGTCATGTAGTTGGAATCATTCAATATGTAGCCTTTTTGGCTTGGCCTGTCTCACTTAATAATATGCATGTAAATTTCCTCCATGTCTTTTCATGGCTTGATAGCTCATTTCTTTTTAGCACTGAATAGTATCCCATTGTCTGGATGTATCATGGTTTATTTATCCATTCACCTTCTAAGAACATCTTGGTTGCTTCCAGGTTTTAGCAATTATAAATAAACTTGCTATAAATATCCATGTGCATGTTTTGTTGTTGTTGTTGTTGACATAAGTTTTTAAACTCTTTGGGTAAATACCAAGGAGCACAGTTGCTGGGTTGTATTATAAGAGAATGTTTAGTTTCGTTAGAAAATGCCGAACTGTATTCTAGAGTAGCTGTATCAGTTTGTGCTCCCATCAGCAATAAAGGAGAGTTCCTGTACCTCTCCATCCTGTCCAGCACTTGGTGTTGTCAGTGTTCCCGATTTTGGCCATTTCCCTCATAACGTGATCTGAAGCATCTTTTCCTATGCTTATTTGCGGTCTGTATTCTTTGGAGAGATGACTGTTCAGGTTATTGGCCCATCTTTTAGTTAGGTTGTTTGTTTCCTTATTGTTGAATTTTCAGAGTTCTTAGTATATCTTGGACAGCAGTCCTTTATCAGATGTGCCTTTTGCAAATATTTCCCTCAGTCTGTGGCTTTTCTTCTCATTCTCTTGACATTGTGTTTTGCAGAAGTTTTAAATTTTAATGAAGTCCAGCTTATTAATTATTTCTTTCATGGATTGTGTTTTTGGTGTTGTATCTAAAACGTCACCACCACATCCCAGGTCACCTAGGTTTTCTCCTATGTTATTTTCTAGGTGTTTCATAGTTTCATGTTTTACATTTAGGTCTGTATCCAATTTGAGTTAATCTTTGTGGAAGATGTAAGGTCCGTGTCTAGATTTATGTTTTGCGTGTGATTTTCATTTGTTCCAGCACTATTTGTTGAAAGGATTATCGTTGTTCCATTGTATCGCCTTTGCTTCTTTGTCAAAGATCAGTTGACTATACATATTTTAAACATATTTAAAGGCTCTGTACTATCCTAAAGAAAAGCCTGCCCAAGTCCAAAATTTGCCTAATGTATTTGATCACAAACCCTTCTCGAATGTCCCTTACTTTTTTTTAGATCCTCACCTGAGGATATTTTTCCATTTTATCTTCAGATAGAGTGGGAGGGAAGGAGGGAAGGGGCAGGGAGAGAGAGAGAGAGAGAGAGAGAGAGAAACATCTATGTGAGAGAGACATATCGACTGGTTGCCTCCCACATGACCCTGACCTGGGCCGGGGACTGAACCGCAACCAAGTGACCGGAATCGAACCCGTGACTCTTTGGTCCGTGGGTTGACGCTCTAACCACAGAGCCGAACTGGCTAGGGCTTTTTTTTTTTATTTTTTATTTTAGCAGAACTTGAACTGACATTTATTGGACAAACATTAACTGAGATCCTGTGTAGGTCAGACCTTGTCCTGCGAATGGAGAACACAGCTGAGTGGGCCCTGGTCCTTCCCAGCAAAACCCTGAGAACTAAGGTTGGTGAGTGCTAAACCCTTGACATGCTTCATTACAATTAATCCTCTCCTGTGCTCTGGGAGTTAGATATTATTGCCCCATTTTACAGACGTGAAAATGAGGCTTAGAGCAATTTATATGACTTCTCCATGGAAAAAGAGCTAACAAATGACAGAGTTGGTATTCAGACCTTAGGACCCCTGACAACAGAGCTCAAACTCTTAAACATGAAGGTGTGTTCTTAGAACACTTGCGAGTTACTGCTCCAGCTCAGTGTTCCTCCCCAGCCCAGGCCAAATCCCCACCCCAGCTCCAACCCCAGCCCTAGTCCTGGAAAACTCCTCCTTTTCCCTGCTGAGGACCTCTAGGAACCCCACTTTGTTCCTTGAGGAACTCCAGCAAACAAACAAACCAAAACAAACGAATAAAAAAGTCTATTGAGTCCAAGTGATACAATTCACATTTATTTTGGAAAAAAAAAAGGTTCTGCTAAAAATACTCCTACAAAGGCATTGGAGTAACAGGGTCAGGAGCTCCTGGACAGCTGGTGAGATTTCCTTGGTCACAGCAGTGGGGGTCCAGGTCTGACCCATGGCCATTAGAACCCCAGCCACATCACTTCCTGACCCTCCAACATTATCAGGAAAACCCATGTTTATGACCAGAGGAAACAAGGTTCTGTGAAACCCTGCCAGACACCCCGTCCTGTTCCCCAGTTGAGAGTTCTGGCCTGAATGGTACAGGCTGGAGCAAACACCTTGGGACAGCGGCTTGGACAGTGGCTCTAGGTTAGGATGTCCAGGTACCCCCAAACAGAGTGCCCCCTGGAGATCTGGGATTTGACTGGTAAAGTTCTGACAGTGGAGAGGGGCTGAGTGGGGATCACGGGTAGCAGCATAGCATAGTGACTGTAAGGGCAGAGGCTGGGTCCGAGACCACTGGCCAACTGTGTGACCTGGGAAAGCCCCCATGCACGTCTCTGAGTTTCCTAGTCTGTGGAGCAGGAATAATAATTGTACCTTCCTCACAGAGCTGTGAGGATTAAGCGAGACATTGCGTGTGAAAGGTAAGCATGGCCTCTGGCACATTGTTGGCACTCAAGAAATAGCAGCTATGATTAGGATTTGGGGCTGAGCCCGACCAACCAGTAATTGCTCTTCTCTGTACTCCAAAGAGGCTGGCTGTGAGTGAGGTTCCTGCCAGGCCTACCCTGGGCCAGCCTCAGGGGCTCGACCTTGTGTCCCCTGCCCATCAGAGTCCCTGTCCATGGAAGGGAAAGCAAGCAGGCTGATTACTGACCTCTGAGCAAGCCAGAGGCACCTCCTCGGGCTGGCCTCCCAGATCCCTATAGGCACTAGCCTCAACTAGAAAGGGTCAAAGGGTCCTTAGAGTGGGGCAGGGACTGTATGACCGTGATGCTATACCCCGAGTGTCAGCAGGAAGGCACCTGGCTCTGGGTTTGCAGCAAGACCCTATGGGTGCCCCGTGTATAAAAAAGACTGGCTCTGTGCAGGAAGATGGTGTACCTGGGAAAGATTCTTCGGCAAAACCCTGGCCCTGCAGCCTCCTCTTTGGGGGTGGGGGGATCCACTCCAGGTGAGTCCCTCCTCAAACCTAGCTAGTGGGGTCCGCACTTGGCTTCTGAGCTGAGCTCTCTAGCCCACCAGCCAGTGGGCACCGTGGCCTGCATGGGGCTTTGCTCAACTGGGGCAGCCAAGTGTGCGCAATTCTGCCACTCCACCAGGGAGAGAAATTCAGCATCACAAGGGTCTGGGCCCTTGTCCACGTCCACCTCTGACTCAGAGTCAAAGGATGGAGCTGTTGCTAGTATTTGTTTTTAGCTGTCGCCCTTGCCATCTCTTCCTCTGTCTCGTTCTTGCTCTTTCTTTATGCTTTGTCCCTGCCAGGGTCCTCAGGTTTGGGGACCAACGGTGAACATTGGGTCTCAAAGTCTCAAGAATTAGCAGGATAGACTCATATAGTGATGGAATGTTAAAAACATGGAGTCCTTCCATTGGAATCTTAGAATTATGGGCTTTTGCAAACTTAGAATCTTGGAATCTTTTACCCACAAACTGTTAGAATTCTGGACTCTTGCCATCTCAGCAGGGTCCCCAGAGTGTCTGTGGTCCTGGCCCTGACCTGCTCCTTCCTCCCCTCCATGTCCCTCCTCCAACAGGGGCTGTTAGACCTGAGTAGAGACAAGGACCTTCACTCCCTCACCCTCCTCCAGGGAAGCCCGTGTCTTAGTCGGGGGAGCAGGGGGCATATGAAGCTCCAGGTCCAGCTGGAAGCCCATTCTGCCTTTGCCTGGCCCGCCTGGCCAGGTGTTGAGGGACCAGGCCTGGATTATAGCTTGGGGCTCGTGGGGTCTCCACGGGGTGGCCCTGAGTGGGCTGCCAGGCCCCTCTAAGTACGTATTAAGTTCTTGCTTTTTCTTGCTGTATCAGCTTTCCTGAGGCAGCCTTCATGCTGGGAATCTAAGCTCGGACAGACTCAGGGCCTGGGGTTCTTTCTAATTTTCCTGAAAGCTTAGCTCACTCCGAACACATTCCTGAGGGTCAGCCCTACTC